TCCTACTGTCCTAATCATGCAAAAAACAAGTCTTCTGCTGCTCTGACCAATCAATCAATAAACCATTCTCCTGATACTCTAAAAATACAACCAGTCAACCATTCTCATGCTACTCTAACCATACAACCAACCATTCTCCTGATACTCTAACTATACAACCATTCTCCTACTATCCCAACCATACAACCAGTCAACCATTCTCCTACTATCTCAACCATACAACCAAATAACCATTCTCCTACTATCCTAACCATACAACCAGTCAACCATTCTCCCGCTACTCTAACCATACAACCAACCATTCTCCTGATATTCTAACTATACAACCATTCTCCTACTATCCCAACCATACAACCAAATAACCATTCTCCTATTATCCCAACCATACAACCAGTCAACCATTCTCGTACTATCCCAACCATACAAACAGTCAATAATTCTCCCGCTACTCTAACCACACAATCAACTAACCATTCTCCTGCTACTCAAACCATACAACCAATCAACCATTCTCGTACTATCCTAACCATACAACCATTCTCCTACTATCCTAACCATACAACCAGTCAACCATTCTCCTACTATCCTAACCATACAACCAGTCAACCATTCTCCTACTATCCTAACCATACAACCATTCTCCTACTATCCTAACCATACAACCATTCTCCTACTATCCTAACCATACAACCATTCTCCTACTATCCTAACCATACAACCAGTCAACCATTCTCCTACTATCCTAACCATACAACCAGTCAACCATTCTCCTACTATCCTAACCATACAACCAGTCAACCATTCTCCTACTATCCTAACCATACAACCATTCTCCTACTATCCTAACCATACAACCATTCTCCTACTATCCTAACCATACAACCAGTCAACCATTCTCCTACTATCCTAACCATACAACCATTCTCCTACTATCCTAACCATACAACCATTCTCCTACTATCCTAACCATACAACCAGTCAACCATTCTCCTACTATCCTAACCATACAACCAATCAACCATTCTCCTACTATCCTAACCATACAACCAGTCAACCATTCTCCTACTATCCTAACCATACAACCATTCTCCTACTATCCTAACCATACAACCATTCTCCTACTATCCTAACCATACAACCAGTCAACCATTCTCCTACTATCCCAACCATACAACCAGTCAACCATTCTCCTACTATCCTAACCATACAACCAGTCAACCATTCTCCTACTATCCTAACCATACAACCATTCTCCTACTATCCTAACCATACAACCAATCAACAATTCTCCTACTATCCTAACCATACAACCATTCTCCTACTATCCTAACCATACAACCAGTCAACCATTCTCCTACTATCCTAACCATACAACCAATCAACCATTCTCCTACTATCCTAACCATACAACCAGTCAACCATTCTCCTACTATCCTAACCATACAACCAATCAACCATTCTCCTACTATCCTAACCATACAACCAGTCAACCATTCTCCTACTATCCTAACCATACAACCAGTCAACCATTCTCCTACTATCCTAACCATACAACCAGTCAACCATTCTCCTACTATCCTAACCATACAACCAATCAACCATTCTCCTACTATCCTAACCATACAACCAGTCAACCATTCTCCTACTATCCTAACCATACAACCAGTCAACCATTCTCCTACTATCCTAACCATACAACCAGTCTCCTACTATCCTAACCATACAACCATTCGCCTACTATCCTAACCATACAACCAGTCAACCATTCTCGTACTATCCTAACCATACAACCATTCTCCTACTACCCTAAACATACAACCAACCATTCTAATTTTACACAGGATATTTAGAAAACGACAGCAACCATTCTCCCACTACCCAATGGCCACGAATCCTGTATCAGCCTCGGACCTGTTGCTCCTGACCTGTCTCTTTCTCTTTAACCCGATCCCTCCTGCTGTCGTGAGATTTTCATTGCTGTCGTCAGCTCCCCGTCTGCTAGCGACTTGCGCGGGAAATTACGGAGCTGCTTACGCCATCACAGAAACTGCTGGCCGCTTCTTGCCTCCCTGCAACATGTATTTATTGGGGCGCTTCCTTCAATGTCTTGTCTTGTTTTTTGTTTTTGTTTGTGGAAACATTTCCCACTGTTGGAAACTATTGCACCCGTCTGTACTCGACTGGTGTGTTTGAGCAGTGACAATATTTCAGTTTGTCTGAGGATTTGACTATCTGCGTGTGTTTCATTGAGGTTTTCTTATTACATTTGTAGCGGTTCTTGAGTTTTTATTTGTGCTAATTTGATTATGACAACTTATAATGCATCTTTGACGTTTAATTATACATATAATAGTTTAGTAAAATTAAACACACTTGATGTCAGGTCGCAACACTTAGATATGACAATTAATAACAGAGGCAAAGATAATTAGTAAAATTCAAACGATAACCAATCGTCATTAGTGAAACATCACTTTAAGAGGTGAAGTTATATATATATATATATTTCAATTCAAGTGTAGTCAGAGGTGAACAAACAGAATAGAGTTAGTACAGCATGAACATAACATGCGAGAAGAATTTTCCTGATACTAGAATATTTATGAGGTAAATTGTTAGTTATGTATCAAAAGAAGTTAAGTGTTAGTTGTGTATCAAGTGAGGTCTTTTTCTTCACATTCACTGGAGACTGCGGCGGAAATTTCTGGTTGTTCGTCCACTTCTGGACTCTCCTATTCCAGAAACTGAGTGTTGCATGCACATCCGTTTTACAGATCTGACTCATTTGCATGCAGGCTGTCGGTTCCTTGCCTCTCATGCAGATGTACTCTGGGCCGGCATTGGGTCTATTCTTGTGTTGCCCCAACATATCAAGTGAGGTTAATTGCTTGTTAAGTATCAAGTGAGGAAACCTGTTAGCTGTTAGCTATGTAAATTAATAAGGAAAATTGTTAGTTATGCATTAAATGAGGTAGACTGTTAGTGGAATATGAAGTGAGGTAAATTTCTAGTTATGCATCATGTAAGGTAGATTGTTAGTTGAGTATCTGATGAGGTAAATTTTTAGTTATATATCACGTGAGGCAAATAGTTAGCTGAGTATTAAGTGAGGGAATTGTTGTTCCTTTTCTGTTAAGCGACCACATCACGCGAGATTTAGGGGAATCCCGTAGTACAGGGGGGTTAGGGTCAGTAGTAGTGGCTATTCATTTAACACTAACCATAACCCCCTATACTATAGGATTTCCTTAAATCTCGCGTCACGTGGTCGCTTAACAGAAAAGAACAAAATTGTTAGTTATATCTCAAGGGAGATCATTTGCTAGTTGGGTATCAAGTTAGATAAATTGTTAGTCATGTATCAGATGCGATAAATTGTTAGTTGGATGTGATAAATTGTTAGTTGTGTATCGAGAAAGGTAAACTGTTTGTCGAAAATCAAGTGAGGTAAATAGTTAGTTGAGTATCAAATGAGGTAGATTGTTATTTGAGTATCAAGTAAGGTAGATTGTTAGTTGAGTATCAAGTTAGGTAGATTGTTAGTTGAGTATCAAATGAGGTAGATTGTTATTTGAGTATCAAGTGAGGTAGATTGTTAGTTGAGTATCAAGTGAAGTAATTGTTAGTTGAGTATCAAGTGAGGTAAATTGTTAGTTGAGTATCAAAAGAGGTAGATTTTTGGTTGAGTATCAAGTGAGCTAGATTGTTAGTTGAGTTTCAAGTGAGATAGATTGTCAGTTGAATATCAAGTAAGGTAGATTGTTAGTTGAGTATCACCTGTGGTAGATTGTTAGTTGAGTATCACCTGTGGTAGATTGTTAGTTGAGTATCACCTGTGGTAGATTGTTAGTTGAGTATCACCTGTGGTAGATTGTTATTTGAGTATCAAGTGAGACTGTTAATTGAATGTCAAGTGAGGTAAATTGTTAGTTGAGTACAAAATTAGGTAGATTGTTATTTGAGTATCAAGTGAGACTGTTAGTTAAATGTCAAGTGAGGTAAATTGTTAGTTGAGTACAAAATTAGGTAGACTGTTAGGTGAGTATCAAATGAGGTAAATTGTTAGTTGTATGTTATGCGAGGTAAATTGTTAGTTAAGTATCAAGCGAGGTTACTTTTTGGTTATGTACTAATTGAGGCAACCCGCTAGTTATATATTAAGTGAGGTAAATTCTTAGTTATCTGTCAACTTCGTTAAATTTTTAATCATTTATTAAGTGAGGTGAATTGCTAGTTGTATGTCAAGTGAAATAAACTGCGAGTTATCTTTTTCACTGTTTTACAGTCCAAGCCGTGTGAAATAATGATTCCGTTTATTCACTGCCGTCTGTCACGTGTGCTGCACATAATGTCAATTACCAATGCCTCTCCAGTCCATGTATTCAGACTGTCAGGCGCCCACGTCCTTTGTCTCCCTCTGCTTCCCTTTCCTTACATTTTTCCTGTTGTCAGTGCGTACTTCACTTTTCTTTAGTTAAGTTATACGTTATATAAATAGTTAATTAAGTATCGAGTAGTGTTGAGGTTTTGCTAAATTGCAGACAAATGGTATTTTAGTTGGTTAAAGGGACCTAAGTATGTTCTCGAGTGAACTATGTGATGTTGGAAATGACCTGTGATTGTGATATCTGAGACACGATAAGGTACTCCAGCGTCTGTGACACTGTCTTGCGGATTGCTAGTCCACCATGCTGCAGGTGAATCCTGCATTGACCTCCGGTCACGTGGTCCTGGGCCGCAGTAGCTGCAGAAGCAGTAGCATCGGTGACCAGTGTAGACTTGAGGCTTCACGGAACTCATGCTGTCCTCCCGGGAAGAACACACTTGCCAGCATCACGCAGATATTGGACAAAATGGAAGTCTTGCGGAGACTCAATGGTAACTACTCGGCTACCAGTCGCAGTGGTCTCTGCAGCAGCTTGTTAAATAGAGAGTGGCAGAGCGATGTTGTAGAAGCAAGGAAGGGGCGGCCGAACTGCCCAACGTCAGTACCATCAAAGATGTCTCAGTCTATGTTTGAGTTAGAACGCGTTCTTTCGCATAGTTCTGACTTATCCACTGGAAGCCAGAACAGCTTCGTCCTCATCGACCAAGCATGTGAACGGTTAAAACTTCAAGGATGTCGTAGGAGCCACCTAGCCCCGTGGAGCAGGTTGAAGCACAACGTCGGTGGTTGTAGCAAAGTTACCAGTGCCACGTCTCAGTACCACTTGCGGCGACAGCAGCGTAACCGGAAATTCCGCCTGAGCTTATTTACGCAGAGCGGCCTGTACCGGAAGCAGAAGAAAGCGGACCATAATTACCTCATATATCACAATCCATTGGAAGGTAACGTCTGTGTATTGTCTGTAGTTATTTCTGCACAGTCTGGGTTGGCGGTAATGTCTGTGTATTGTGTATACTAATTTATTCACAATCTGGGTTGACTGTAATGTCTGTTTATTGCATGAAGTAATTACTGCAGTCTGGGTTGACGGTACTGTTTTTATGAATTATGTGTAGTTATGTCTGTAACCGTATTTGTTTAATGAACAACGATAGCGCAGTAGTTACTGGCGCTTGTCTGTGCAGCAGTCCAGGTTAAGATCTCGTAAAAATATCGATATATCCCCAACCAGAACAAGCCTGAGTCGATCTGTTCTTGTCAGATGGGTACTTGTGATTGTCTTTGAAATAGAAAATGCTGCAGGAATGATACTGGCCCTTTGATTCGCCATGTTTCAGGCTGTAGTGACCTGACGTCTGCCACAGTTACCGACGCCACCTTTTTCTTTCTTTCTTTCTTTCTTTCTTTTTCTTTCTTTCTTTCTTTCTTTCTTTCTTTCTTTCTTTCTTTCTTTCTTTCTTTCTTTCTTTCTTTCTTTCTTTCTTTCTTTCTTTCTTTCTTTGTCTTTCTTTCTTTCTTTCTTTCTTTCTTTCTTTCTTTCTTTCTTTCTTTCTTTCTTTCTTTCTTTCTTTCTTTCTTTCTTTCTTTCTTTCTTTCTTTCTTTCTTTCTTTCTTTCTTTCTTTCTTTCTTTCTTTCTTTCTTTCTTTCTTTCTATGCTTGGTCAGCTCTTACCTCGTTTGCTTTATTTACTTTTATTTTCTCCACTACCTGCTTTGAGCCTCTAGGCATCGCATTTTAACAGGTCGTAGAGACATCTTATTCAAAGCATATTTATTCCAACTCTGTGCTACCAGTGCCAGACATGGTCACTCACAACAAACCATAAAAGAAAATTAGTAACCACGGAAATGAGATGTCTGAGAAGGGCTGTAGGAGTGACCGTAAGAGATAAGATCAGGAATGAGATCATAAGAGAACAAGTCGGCACAGAACCAATTCTGGATTACATACTAAGACAGCAAGTGAAATGGTTTGCCCACTTAGAGAGAATGCCTTGTGACACCATACCATACAAAGCATACATGGAAAGAGAAGAAGTACGTAGAGCACGGGGTAGACCAAGAACAAGATGGAAGGATAACATCAGAGAAACTCTACAACAGCACGATGTGCCTGTGGTCGAGGCAGCCAGAAGAGCTAGAAACAGAACCTTATATCTCCCTCGACACCCACAGCGGTAAAAGAGGAAGTAAAGAAGAAGAAGAAGGCCTGCTCGGCTGCTTGGTGTGTTGTGAAGTCTTAGGCTGTCAGTGGCTCCTTGAGTCGATATTCTTCTAGGTTTTCCTCTGCCTCTTGGTGTTTCCATTCTCAAGTTGTAAGTTCTTGCTGCCGGCGTCGTTAAGTTCATTCTCACGCGTTGGTCAAACCATTTAAATCTTTGCAATGAAGTTAATAATGGGTATTGTTCAAACAGTTCCTCCACTCTCTTCATTTCCCCGTGTGGGTTCTGGGGCCCTGTTTTGGGGGTTGGGGGGGGGGGGGGGGAAAGAGGAGAGAAACACTGCCCCCAGCAAGCCTGGCGGAAAAGCCGACTTATTAAAAGTTTTCCCTTCCAAGTCGGAGGGCATTGTTTGCTCGAGAGGCAAGGAACCAAAAGTCTGCATAATATAAGAAATATATGTAAAACTAATGTGCACAAAAACTAAAATTATGGTACAGGACTAAGGTCCAGAAGTGGACGAACAACCCGAACACCGTAGTTTACAGTGGCTAGTTTTGTTCTAGCCTTTCCCAGACATCTCATCTCATATGTTTTCTATCGTTTACTATCATCATTAATCATTGCCCATTTCATTATCACCATCTTCGTGGCCATTGGTGTCATCATCATCCCGGTCGTCGATGTTATCATCGTCGTCATCGTTATTTAGTTAAAATTTGTGAACATCGAACGCTCTGAATGCTTTCTTCTGCAGCAGGCAGAATACAGAATGGGGAAACTCCACTTTCTTTACATGACCGACCCACCCAATTCTTTTAAACAGTAAGACATGGGTAGTGCAAGTCTACAGCCTAAAGCGATTTATTATTCTTGTCCTACTGTACCCCTTTTAGCGGTCATTCACATTGCCTCTTTATTTGGTGTCTGAATTGGCGATACGGCAGCCGACGTGGTCTAGCGGCTAGACACCCGCCTGTAGATCGGAAGGTCGTGGGTTCGGGTCCTGACAGGAACCAGACTTTTAAAAAAAATGACTTTGGCTCCCAGGTACACTCGCCTTGAGTGAGTACAAAGTACAGCCTAGGAAAATAAAGGCGACCGGCGTGATGCTGACCACACCCCCCCCCCTTCCAAGTGCCGTTTGGTCTGTAAAATATAGGTCTTGCCCTATATACCAAATACGCCTGAAGGTGTGGGAAATGGTCCTTTACTTATTGGCGACATGTGGACCATATCCGGAGTGCAATGTTGTCCGCAGTATAAATTAGGGAAAAAAAAAGGGGGGGGGGGGGACGCGTAATGATTCATTTAATCCAGTCATCTCCTTGTAAGATGCAATTTTTTGTTATTTGAAGCCCTACTCTGGCTCTTGTCAGGGGGCGCAATATAGCCCGATCCTAAATATGGTCTAATGGCTGAACGCGGTTTCTGGGACCTCTCCTAGCGTGATCCTCATCCACATGGTGGCACTTTGTGTCATCGGCTATTTATCGCGTGTGTGATGTCCTAGTGGGCTAAAAATCTACTACTACTACCCGCGCTTACGTTTCAACAACACAAAAAGGGGGCGGGGGCTGCGTGGTCTCGAGGCATGGTATCCGCAACGAACACTAGAGATTTCGGCCCGGTAAGGGCTGGGTTTTTTCCACGTGGACTTGGAATTCTAGTAATTCCCCCTGGTCTCTGGGTTGTGAGATCGGGCGCCCGTATGCATGGTTGCACACGTAAAAAATCCCTTGACAGTTGGAAATCGAAAAGTGTAGCCAGCCTAACGGCGCTGCCCGCGCCAAAATTTTGAGTTAAAAATCTACCCAAATTATTTCAGGATCCTCGCCGGTGCTACAGAGCCTGGGCACTGTGGTGAGCTTCTTCGGACTCAAACCTAAGTTAGAAGAAAAACAGAGCACTTATGGGTTACTACCCGTGTGTGTCATGATGTTGGTCCGTTGTTCAAAACTGAAACCTGGTTCATTTAAACAAACTTGTTTACCGTTTGAGTGCCAAGAGAACAAACACATTTGCTTAAAGATTTGTTTCTCGGAGCAGTCACGTTAAACCATTGAGTGGTCGATGTCTAAAACCAGAAGATAACATACTGATAACATAATCCCCTCCCCTCATCTGTCACACATGCCTGGAAGCATTACTCCTGCAGGGGTTATCTAGACAGCCGACACTCTTCCTGGCCTTGACTAACCCTCCTTGTCCGCATGAAAATTGACCTGCCAGGAAAGTTGTTGTGTTTTTTTGCTGTCTTTCGTGAAATCTGACTGTCTCGGATAGGATCTGGCTGTCTTAAGTAGAACCTGGTTGTCACAGCTGTTTCGCCAATCTGTGATCGCCTGTCTGGTGGGTATTAAATCAAAATGTTTACACAGCGTGACCTGAATGTTTGACACAACCAAGCGGATCTAAATTTATTTCACAAGTAACGTTTGAATACAATGTAATCGAAGAGAGAAAAGGGTGAACGGGCAGGCCATTACAGTGATTACTTATTGGCGGTCAAAACAGGAACGGGAGAGGGGGGGGGGGGGGGGGGGGCGTGGTTTAGAGCGGTTGGCATGTTGTATAAATGCTTACAGTTAGACTGCGACATTTGCGCATTTTATCTCAATATATTCGATTTCAGCAACCTCCTAATTCGTGGCCTTGTATGGACCTATTGTTAGGGTGTAACTGGAAGGTCTGTGCGAGGCTACTATTACAGCTTTATTTGTGTGAATACTTTTTTTGATTATTTGAGTCGGCATCTGTGACTTAGTCATGGAACTCAATTTCATCATTCCGACAAATCGAAATATCGCCCTGGAGATTTTGCTGTCATTTCGACAGTGGTGTGATGATTGACCGTTTAGTACTATTGCACACTATAGAACGCCAAAATTGCCTTGTAAAATCACAAACAGCTAACACATGCTGAACAGTCTGGAGGCACAGATAGTTCATTACGGTCTGGGGAGAATGGTGCTGGGAGGATTTACAAGGGGATGTAGCTGGCGCTCAACACTCAGGTGAAAGGCGAGACGGATATACAATCAGACAGTTACTGGTACATCTATTTATATCTATATATATATAAACCCATTTATGGAAATTGGTTCACATATGCAGCTATTATTTTGATGGCCTATCTCAATGAAAAATCCGCAAATCAATTTCCACAGCCGGTTATCCAGTGAACGGTTGTTATAGTGGCTTTCAGGCATTAATTTGAGAGTAACACTGTAGAAGAGATTGAGACCTTTTCTCCTAGTATTCTCAGAGGCAGCTAGCAGTGCTTGCATTACATATAACCTCCATTCTCGTGCACAAAATTTATTTATGTTTATCTACATTTGTTTTTGTTTGTTTGTGCCATAGTCTTCAGCCGCACCACACATTTTTTCTCACATATTTCAGGTTCAAATGTGTTTTTTAAAAAGTGGACAAACTTTGATGTAAAGGACATGCAAGTAACTGTTTTTAAAAGTGAAGAACACTTATATAAAGGTCATGCAACTAGCTTGTTTAAAGGTTGAAGAACTCTGATATAAAGGACATGCAAGTAACTGTTTTTAAAGTTGAAGAACACTTATATAAAGGTCATGCAACTAGCTTGTTTAAAGGTTGAAGAACTCTGATAAAAAGGACATGCAAGTAACTGTTTTTAAAGTTGAAGAACACTTATATAAAGGTCATGCAACTAGCTTGTTTAAAGGTTGAAGAACTCTGATATAAAGGAAATGCAAGTAACTATTTTTAAAGTTGAAGAAGTAACTGTTTTAAAGTTGAAGAACACTTATATAAAGGTCATGCAACTAGCTTGTTTAAAGGTTGAAGAACTCTGATATAAAGGACATGCAAGTAACTGTTTTTAAAGTTGAAGAACACTTATATAAAGGTCATGCAACTAGCTTGTTTAAAGGTTGAAGAACTCTGATATAAAGGACATGCAAGTAACTGTTTTTAAAGTTGAAGAACACTTATATAAAGGTCATGCAACTAGCTTGTTTAAAGGTTGAAGAACTCTGATATAAAGGACATGCAAGTAACTGTTTTTAAAGTTGAAGAACACTTATATAAAGGACATGCAACTAGCTTGTTTAAAGGTTGAAGAACTCTGATATTGAAGTAACTATTTTTTAAAAAGTTGAAGAACACTTATATAAAGGTCATGCAACTAGCTTGTTTAAAGGTTGAAGAACTCTGATATAAAGGACATGCAAGTAACTGTTTTTAAAGTTGATGAACACTTATATGAAGGACATGCAACTAGCTTGTTTAAACGTTGAAGAACTCTGATATACAGGACTCAGTTACATGTTTTTTTTTTTAAATGCAAGACAAAGTAACTGTTTTTAAAGTTGAAGAACACTTATATAAAGGTCATGCAACTAGCTTGTTTAAAGGTTGAAGAACTCTGATATAAAGGACATGCAAGTAACTGTTTTTAAACTTGAAGAACACTTATATAAAGGACATGCAACTAGCTTGTTTAAAGGTTGAAAGAACTCTGATATAAAGGACATGGAAGTAACTATTTTTAAAAAGTTGAAGAACACTTATATAAAGGACATGCAACTAGCTTGTTTAAAGGTTGAAGAACTCTGATATAAAGGACATGCAACTAACATTTTTAATGGTTGAAGAACACTGATGTGATTGATTGGCACCTTTCTGTCTTTCCAAACGATAGTGTTATATTAGGATATGATGTGGCATGGGACTCACAGCCTATGGCGATATCAAGTGTGACTAGCCAAACATGCCAATATTTTTTTTCCTCTCTGGTATTTTTGAGACTTAGATTTAGAATTCTAAGAAAGAGAAATGTTTTTTTAAAAACATTTTGCAGATCCACAACAGATTTCTAACACAGAGAAAGGTTTGTTAGAACATCTTGCAGATCTCAATTCTCAGTTACATGTTTTTTTTTAACCTCTTCCAGATTCAGACTTCACATTCTAATATATATATATATATATATATATATATATATATATATCTGTGTGTGTGTGCGCGCACGTGTGTGTGTGTGCGCGCGCGTGTGTGTGCGCGCGCGCGTGTGTATGTGTGTGCGCGCGCACGCGTGTGTATGTGTGTGCGCGTGCATGTGTGTGTGCACGCACGTGTGTGTTTTTGTGTGTGTGTGTGTGAACATCTTGCAGATCCACAATTAGATTATAACAGTAAAATGTTCTCTTTTGAAACTCTTTCAGATCCAGATGCAACATACACAAGTTACTCAAACCCCAACTATTTCTTTAACCGTGCTCACCACCATCTTCACAACAACAACAACATCATCGACAACAGTGACAGTTCCTTTCACAATGGCAACAACACCAGCATCTCCCTGGAGAAGCTCTCGCTGACCTCCGATTTCTTTAGCCCCAGAAAAGGCTCCTTCAGCAGCTACTCATCCTGTGAGCCCACTCCAACGACCCCTGACCGCACGTTTGTTCTCCAGAAGCTTCATTCACCTTCTGATGATGATTATGATGACGACGACAATGATGATGACATTGAGGCAGATGCTCTTTCTTTGGGAGAAGAAGAGGTTGATGACAAGGAGAAGGTCGACAGCAGCACAGATGGTGGCTCTGCGAAAGAAGAACCACGGATCTTCTATGGGGTAGGGAGCCAGCAGTGCCGAAGGTCGAGGGGCATCGTGGGGTACTTGGAGATGCTTGAGAAGCAAGCGCTGGAGAGGGAGATGCGGAGCCTGTGTGGCGGGGTGGTAGATGAGGATAATGATGATCGCTTTGGCAGAGAGGGTGGCTGTGGTGATGACTCCCCTAAGACAATGCAGGGAGGAGATCAGCCAGTAGAGCCACCACAAAATGACAAGTATGTATACATGAAAGAATGAGTGAGTTAGTGAGTGAAGATGCTTGTTACAGAGTAGGTGATACATGGTTGAATAATGAGGCAAGAAGATAGACAAGTGAAGAATTATAGGAATCAAGAGGTAGTGTGAGTTAGGATTAGTCAGTAATGCAGGAGAGGGATACATGAATGAGTCAGGGGTACTATTTACAAAAGTCATCCCATCTCATTCGGCTTTGAGATTTCTGTGGCAGGTTCCAACAGGCTTTCTGATGTCCTAGGGGTATTTGTTTTGAACCTTTTAGGCACATCCACCACTGATGAAAGCCACCACCAATGAGCGTCAAAATACAAAAACATCAGTGATTCGATACTCACGAACCATCTCGCCTCTGGCACACCCCCCCTGCAGTACTTTTTCCTTGCACACAGTCACCTGAGCTACACACAACAACACATTCCACAAACAACAGTCATTCACAAAAAGGTGAGTTGCACAGAGAATGCTGGGCACTTTCGTCTGGCACACAGTTTTTGGTAAGGTGTGTAAAGACAGGGAATGAAGGCATCTCATAACACTCCTAGAACCTAGGTCAGCCCATGGGAACTATCATGAATTCTTGCAGCCGAACTGGAGGGATGTGACTTTTGTGAGAAGTACCAAGTCAGTACTGTCTGAGTGAGGAGAGTATAAGCTAGTATCATGGAATATGTAAAAGAGCAGAGGAAGTTCATAAGGAAGAAGAGAGAGTGAGTGTGTGTTTGTGTGTGTGAGAAAGAGCGAGAGAAAAAAGAGAGAAAAAGAGAGAGACTGAGATATGTGCAACTGAGAGAGGGAGTAAATAAGGTGTCTGAGTATTATGAGTAAGGATGTATAAAGGTAAGTGGGCAGTTGAGTATATGTACAAGGGACACATACATGAATGGAGGAATTAGAATTTGCGAGTGACGGATGAAGTAGAATTTGTGACAACTTAAAAGTGTATGTAGTGCTCAGTGACTGACTGCACTTTATATGTCTGCTTGTCTATCTGTCTATCCATCTTCCTGTATAGCTTTAGCCCTGTCTTCTTCTCTAGATTTGATCTGGGCACAGAGATCAACTCACCAGATTCCAATGACAGTGGTTTTCAGACTGGAGAGAAGACCCCAATTCTGTTTTCTCCAGAGACACCAGGACCTCTTGTAAGTAATATTTAATGTTTACATGTGTATGTTGTTTGGAAACCTATAATAACCCATTTATGAGTGAGCCTGCCTTTCAGTCCAAGACATAATTTAAAAAAAAAAAAGAATTTCCTGAAGGAGGGGTATTTTCTAGTTCTGGTAAAGGAATGTCAGTACTATGAACCTCCTTTAGTAGCAGTGAAAAGACAGCAAATGCAATGGTACGGCCAAGTAATAAATTCTACTGACCTCTCCAAAGCAGTACTGTAGAGCTCAATAGAGGGCAAGAGGCAGACCAAGAAAGATCTGATACAGAATTATGGCAAAATGGACTGGACTCCGACATGCAAACATCTTTGCCCGTTGCCTCTGACCTACATAGGTGGAGTGAGCTGATCAGAGTCAGCAACAACCAGTGACCCAGTGACACATGGTGTTAATGGGACTATGATGATGATGATGAATGGTAAGGTCAGTAAAGGACCCTCTTGACACCTTCGGGTGTGTGTGTTGGGCATAAAAGGCTATTTAATAGATATTTAATAGACTGATTGGCACTCAGTGGGTGTGGTCAGCATCACGTGAGCCACCTTTACCTTTCATGATATTAACTAGTACTCATATATATAAGGCTAACTGTCTGCTCACAAGTAAAATGAAAGTTATTGAAAAGCCGTACCTACTGAGAATGATGCAGTGGAGAGTGTTTGCGCGGTATGGGGTGCCAGCCACTTGACATTTGGAGGTAAGGCAGGACAAGTATTTAGCCAGATGACAATGATGCGGTCAGTGTGGGAACTCTTCACTCGCCATACTTTGGATCTTTTCTCTAGGTTATGCCAGCATGGTGGGGAATGAACAGGCAGACAGACTGGTTGGATCTGCACCGCTGGGTGGTGAATTGATGCAAGACAAAGCAGATGTGGTCAGAGCCCTTGGGAAACAAGTAAGGAAGTCAGAAGAGAAACTATATTATTATGGGCTGGAGAGAATGATGCACTTGGGTATGACCAGAGGGTTCAGCCGGCACACTACGCTCAGAGGAAAGTCAAAACGGACATACAACCAGACTACGACTGGCACCATTAGTATTGGAACTCTGTGGTGGCTGCTGAGGATGGGGACAGAGTGTGTATGGGAATGCCAGAGTGCTGTGATGTCAATTCTTAACTCAACTCTTCACTCGCCAATGAGGAGGAGAACATAGCTAATATAGGCTGTGACATTGAATTTCTAATTAGCTGAACCCAGATGTTGGCATACATGCCTATACTGGTCTACTTAACTAACATTTATAATAAGTTTCTCATGATCTGAGTATTTTAGCCACCATACCACCAATCCTGTATGAATGTGCATTGAATACTTTCTTTGAAGGTAACTGATCCAGCTTCGGAGGCACAAGAGTCCCCCATAAAGGAGGTACTTCCTGAAGGATGGCAGAAACATGAAGGTGAATATGATCACTTGATTCTTTGGCTCTTGTATAAATATAGCTGTTGGTGTTTGCTGGGGTTTACAGGGTCAGGAAGAAACAGGAGTTGGAAGTAGATGTTAGGTGCATTTTCTGCTATAATACAAACTGTTGTTAAAGGGTGAGGAGATAGAATTTCACATATTCTAGTTTATGACGTAATGAAGTGGGATGACAATTTTCATTTTTTTTTTACTTTCTTTTCTCCCAAAAATTCCCTTAAAATTCTTACAATTGTCTGATTACTTATTTTTTAAAAGGCTGTGTCCATCCTAAAGACAAGCTGGTTCGGAAGAAAGTAAAATTTGGCATCTGCTGGTGATTGAACAAAAAAAATTAAAGAAGGTATGAAGAAAGAAGCAAATACTGAAAGTTAGAAGAAGAAAAAAGTGACTGACACAAAGACAGAAAATAAAAGAGATGGGAATAAAAGAAAGAAATGTACAAAGAAAGGAAGAATGAACATAGAAATCAAAAGTGTCTGTATTCCCAGACCTCATTACTTTGGTAAATGACAGCCAGCAACTTGTACCCCCAGTTGTAGCTGGCCAAGTGGACTAATCTAGCGGCTTTTCCTGGAATTACAGCGGCTTTTAAGGGAACACAAGTCTTCGAGTACATTCTCAAGCTTGTCAAAACAGGGGGGTTTAGTCAGTGTTACCAGGGCTAGCCAGTCGTAGTAACGCCTCTTGACTTCCACTGGAGTGGTATTGATTAGGTGGATGGTGGCTGTTGGCACCTGGTGTTGTCCTGTCTGGCTCAAGGACTAGTCACTGACCTCCGGGGGATTTCCTGTGGCTGTATTGTCTTTGCTTTTTTTTAATGTCACACTTGTTTTAGTGATTTGTCATCGTGATTTTCTATGCTACTTCCGGTGGTTTTGTTGTTATTGGTCTTGTTCTTGTGTTGTTGTTGATCTTCTTTTTTTCTTATTCTTGTTCTTCATGTTCTTGTTCTTGTTCTTCTTCTCTTCCTCCTCTGTTGTTGTCATCCTCTTTTTTTTTCTTTTTTTTTCTCCTCTCCTCCCCCTCTTCTTCACTGCTTAATTAACTTAAGCAAAGTTAGTATTTTTGTTTTTGAAACCTCAAGTCCTTTAGTCATAAACAACTTAAAAAAATATTTAAAAAACTGTCCTAATGTCTGTATTTACCACTTTCAAGGCCCGCGGGCCGCCGGTTGAATAGCACTGCTCTATGGGGTCATCCAAGTCTCTATAAAGTATTGAATAAAACCTTTGTGGGGTCATCTGCACCTCTAAATTATTGAATTAAACCTTCCCTGCATGTCTCGGGGCCTTTGTGTGGGGTAAACAAGAATAGACCCACTGTTTTCCAGACAAGCATGTCTTAAGAGTAGACTAATTGGAAGATTCTGTTGAGGTCAGAGGGCATCTGCCTCAGAGGCAAAGGACCAACAGTCTGCATTCAAATAAGCCAGATCTTTGAAATGGATATGCAATGCTCATGTTTTTAATAAAGACTAAAGTCAATAGGCAGACAAACAACCAGAACTTTCCACTGGAGTTTACAACCGGTGAACAGGAAGAAGAAGCTGAAGAGAATCAAACCTCTTTGGGTTCATCTGAGTTCTAAAGTATGGAATCAAACCTCTGTGGGTCAGCCGAGTCTCTGAAGGACTGAATCAAACCAATATGGCGTAACCGAATTTCTAACCTATTGAGACCAACCGCTGTGGGTCAGCAGAGTTTCTAAAGAGTTGAATAAACTTCTGTGGGGTTAACTCAGTCTTGTGATATAAGCATCATTGATTTCTCTGGAAAGTCAATGAGAAGAGGTAAAGGTGAATCGACTTCATTGCATGGAGTTTTATCCCATACGGTTCAGTCTCTCTCCACAGAACAGCTAGCTGCCTGCCGAGAGCATCACAAAGCACGACACCCTTAGCTCCAGCGATGATCCCCATTGATCTCCATAAAAAGTGCACTGAGAAATTGCACTAGTAAACTGAGCAGTGCCACTGTAAAATGAATCTACGACCTTCAGAGCGTAAGGCAAACGGCTTGACCACTCTGTCAGGGAGTGCAGGCACTGGTCACGTGACTGGTCACGTGAGCATGTATGGTAAAACTGTGAAATTACCTTCGGGTGTCACCACTAGGATGTTTGATCCCAGTGACTATAGCAGGACTGTTTGTTCTCTCAATCCACAGATGATGATGGGCCCTATTATTGGCATGTGAAAAGTGGAACGATTCAGCGGGACCCTCCACCTCCAGCACCCCCAGATGGGCCTGCCTTGTGCTCCCCAAAGGCTATCTCCCTGACTACAGAATCTGTGAGTACATGTTTTATTTTTGTATAAGCATTTATTAAGTTTGGTGCAGTTTGTGTTGGTTTGTCTGGATTAGATTTTGTAATCATTTTTCATTTCTTGTCTTTCTTTTTGTACCTTGATGTGTAGAGTTATTATTTAGTATTGAACTTTCCTTTTCTTCATGTATCTTGGGGTGAAGAGATACCTGACCACAGAATCTGTGACTTGTTCTTCTTCTTCTTCTTCTTCTCTTCCACCTTGTACCTCATTGAAGTGTCGGGGGGAGATGTAATGTTTGTTGATGAGAATCTGTGACTACATCATCAAAATCAACATACTTTGTGTTTTATGGCAATCTTTCTACTCTACCCTGAGGTGTAGAGGTATTATGTAGTATTGAATCTTTCCATGTCTACTTGTACCATGGGGTTTAGATACCTTGAGTCTTGGTGGTCTTTCTTCTTCTACCCTGGTATGTAGAGGTACCTTTTGTGTTTGTTTAGTCTTTCATCTTTTAAACCACTGGGCTAGAGTGTACATAATTTATTCTCTTCTTTCTGTTCAGAAATATAAGCTTTTCTTGTGGTCCTTTTTTTTATTTTTATTTTTATTTTGGTTATCTGTCCTCATGATTATACTCAGATAAGAAGGAAATCTGGATTTTTGCCCAGGAGTTTCATATTTGCGTGGTAACAAGTGGGTGATAAACTAGCTGTGCTGCCTCTTTAGCGCTGAGCTACTTTATGATAGAATGGACTGTATGGTAAAGCCTCTGTGGGATAAAGTAAGTAAACAAAACAGATAGAGCATCCATTTCTGAGGGAATGATTCAGCTGCGAGTGAACAAAGGTTTTGGATGATTTTCTACCTGACATGGACTTTTAATAAGGTTGTAATTGCCAACATCACTATGGGAACTCTTGGTTGACTCCTGAAGAAAGGGGGTGGAAAATGGGATGTCCTAAATGCAATGATGTTGATTCTTGATTCATTTATTCATTCTTGCAGGAAAAGTTAGTTAGTTAGGCAGTTAATTAGTTAGTTAGTTGGGTTATCATCATTGCTCTTTGGACATGTCGGCTCAGATCATCCCCTCAGTATGAACCCCAATGTCCAGTGGCTATGTTGATTCACAAGTCCTCTGATGTGGCTGGTGTGAGTCTCGTTCTTTGCTATGCCAAACTCAACTCCCAAGTCTATTATTCTAGAGAGTGATGTGGATTCACTTTCCCAGAGTCCTCCACCCTTTCCATTTCTCATAGGGCATTAATAATATCAGCTTGATCCATAGCTCATCCAGCCAACCTATCATTCATTTCCATAGACACCTGGAATGAAAATAAAGGTGACTCCACCTTTCTTGCATTAAAAAGGATACTAATAAATGGTCTGGGATCATTTGGTAATGTGATACTGACACATGTGGGGTTGTCACTATATACCTGAACACCTTAAGGCATGTGAATTTTCTCTTTACTAATAGAAGTAGTGTAAAGTAAAGGATCCTGTTACCACGCCTTCAAGCATTTTGGGCACATAGGGCTAGACCTGTATTATATAGACCAATTGGCTATTGGTGGGTCACCATCACGCCAACCCCCTTTGATTCTTAGCACTTTACCTGGTACCAAATTTAAGGTTGGGTTCATCTGGGAGTCGGGGTCGTTTCTGGAAAAAAAAGTCAGGGCACGACCTTCGACCTTCGGATCCACAGGCAAACATCTAGCCACTAGACCACAGCGGCTACCTTGATAGTTTTGGCTTTATAATTATTTTATTCTGTAACCTAGTATTGTTTCTCCCTTTTCATTGATTATTCTAGCAATAGGCACACAACATTTTTGTCAGCAGGGCCAAATGGCACAAGCGGATGCAAATTCAATAATTGTGCTTTCTGTTTTTCTGCCAACATTATCAAACTGGCAATATCCATTTAATTTAAACTTGGTCCCTCCTTAAAAGCATCTAATGATAGTTTTTTCTTTAAGTGGGCTGTCCCGGGTGATTGACAGGTTTAATCATATTTTTATTGTTTTCTCTGCTAGATAGAAATAAAAAGAGCTGGTCTATTCTGGTTGGTTCACAAAATTCAGAATATTTTGGATTATTTCCTTCTGAGTATTGAGAATGACTTTTTTATTGGTTCTTTCTGAGAATTTTTCTTTTTCTTTATTTTTACCAGCTGTAAATTCTGATAGAAAGTTCTGGTTTTTGTCCACTTCTGGACCTTACTCTTATTCTGAGAATTGATAATATTATTTGTTGGTAGGCTCAGAGAGCTGAGAATAATTTGTGTTTGTTTGTTCTGCAAATTGAACATTGTTTTTTCTAGTTCCTTCTGAGAATTGAGAATAATTTATGTTGGTCCATTCTGAGAATTGTGAATCATGTTTGTTGGTCCATTCTGAGAATTGTGAATCATGTTTGTTGGTCCATTCTGAGAATTGTGAATCATATTTGTTGGTCTATTGTGAGAATTGTGAATCATATTTGTTGGTCCATTCTGAGAATTGTGAATCATATTTGTTGGTCCATTCTGAGAATTTGGAATCATATTTGTAGGTACGTTCTGACAATTGTGAATCATATTTGTTGGTCCATTCTGAGAATTGAAAATTATGTTTTTTGGTACATTTTGAAAATTGTGAATCATGTTTATTGGTTGAATGTAAGAATTTGTAATCATGTTTATTGGTTTATTCTGAGAATTGAGAATGATTCTTTTGGGTTTATTCTGATGGATTGGCAGTCCTAGAAAAGGGGCTACCAGGTATTATAAGGCCTCTTAGATAGTTAGTGACTTAGTTAGTTGGATTATCATCACTGCAGTCCATACATTTCCATAGGTGCTCAGATCCTCTGCTCAGTATGAAACCCAGTTTGCCATGGCTAATAGTACCAGTTCTATGTTAATTAACAAGTCCTTTGATGTGCCTGGTGTGCATCTTTTTGCTTATCCTGATCTTAACCCCCAAGTCTATAATTATGGGGACAGATGTGGATTCACTGCCCCAAAAGTCCTCCACCCTTCCCATTTCTCGTAGGGCATTAATAATATCAGCATGATTGATAGGCTGCCCATCGTTAGTGATAGCAAAGCAAGCCAACCTATCAGCTTTTTCATTTTCATCGGTGCCATCCTATCCCAGAATGAAAATAAAGGTGACTGCATGCACAGTGGACTTATGTAATGATTCAACCCATTGCTTTTGCATTGAACCTGACTGAACTCGATCATACTCATTGAATCACTGAGTACTCATGCGCGGGTGTAAGTTTGTGTTTGGAACTGCGTGAATACTTGCGTTACTGCCATCACCTCCATCATACTGCTGGTTGTCACGGAGAAGGCACCGTTGGCTTCTTTGACTGTTCTGCCCGCTAAGCGTGCTGTGAATGCCCATGCGCTTCTTTGTTAGCCTTATGAGGCCCCTCTTAACCCCAAATAAATGTAGTGAGGCCTAAAAACACAAGGAGAAAAAAACAACAACTCATAGATGGGGATATGTTTGGAGAGAAAATGGAGCTAAGTGTAGATGATAAATTTGCCCACCAGGTTCAGGTCCTATTGAGGTAGTTTTCTCACTATGTAAACTAGGGCGAAACTACTTAGACAACAGAACAACTGGCTCTGGACATGTAGCAAGACTGCCACAGGATAAAGCACCACCAAGAACCCTGTCACTTAGACACAGTTAAAGCAGACCTAGAGGTTGCCCAGCAAGTGATGGATAGATGGAGTATCTGAGGCTGTGACTACTATCATCATCATCATAGCACACGTCAAGGCTCGCACAATATGCTTTTTCAAAAGCCGATGGTGACAGGCAGAACAAGGTCCAGCACAAATAAGAAGAAAGAGCTGTCAGACATCATGGGAAAAGAGCAACAAGAATGCAAAAAAAAAAGTTCTTGAATGGCAGGAATATATGGCAAGATTGGATCAAGATACACAGACCTGATCCCAGATTAGTGATCTTTTGTGAGATGACAAGCTATCCTGCTGTTTATGCTTATTCTTCATTTTGCACTTTGCAATCCTGACATGGTTGTGTATGCAGTGATTGCAGTCAGTTTTATACTTTTATAGCGGCTCTTTTTGCATTGACTTAGACAAAGTATGAGCATCGTAGCAGGTGCTACCACAAACAAGGAAATTCCACAGGTCACGGGACAGGCTAATATTTCAGGGGGCGGTAGATAGGCTGCATGCAGTCATGGGACCTAAGCTGCATGCATTCGTGGGACCTAGGCTGCACTCTCTCATGAGACGTTGGTGGTTGAAGCTTAGGGTCAGTTCTAGTTGACGTGGGGCCGTATAAAGCATCAGAAAGCTGGGAAACCCAGTATTACCACCCACTACAATGTTGGGCTGTCCTGTGACGTCATCTGGGGTAGGATATTAATAAAGAACCTCATATCATTCAAACGGAAAAACTGCTGAACTTAAAATTGTCTGGTAAAAAAAATATGATTTTTTTAAGAGGACATGCAACCCTAGGTCAGTTAGAGAAATGCACATTTGAGCCCAAGACATTCAAGCTGGGTCATTTTACATTTAGCTACTGTGCCAGATGGTTCCTAATTGTTATAAGTACTTAGTGTAGTACCACATTCTATAAGCTGACTGACACCTCATTTAACAAACAGAGGTATAGACAGACGGGCCACTGGTCCTGTAATTGACCCTGTGTCAAGGGGCTGAGTATCAGTAATTGACTGTCAGCTGTTTCCGGCATCCAGCCATAGAAATGTCCTCTGTGGTTGATATTTCAAGCTGTTTATAAAATGTCCATATTTAAATTGTTCAGTTTTGTCAAACAATATTGTTTGGGCAATGTGTTGGCTAGAATTCCATTTATTTTAAATATGTTTTCTGTATTGTTTGTTTGATAATATCATTTTATTGTTGGTCTGCTGTTTATTTGGTAAGGCATCTTTAATCATCTCTCTTCCCCCCTCCCCTCCTCCCCCAACTCTCTCTCTCTCTGTCTCTCTCTGTCTCTCAATTTCAGCCTCTTTCCTCTCTGTGTTCCATATTATCTCCTTATCTGTTCCATTTTCTCTATATCTGGTTTACTCTCTCTATCTCAATCTCTGTCTCTCTGTCTCTCTCTATCCCTCTCTCTCTCTCTCTCTCTCTCTCTCTCTCTCTCTCTCTCTCTCTCTCTCTCTCTCTCTCTGTCTCTCAATTTCAGCCTCTTTCCTCTCTATCTGTGTTCCATATTCTCTCCTTATCTGTTCCATTTTCTCTATATCTGGTTTACTCTCTCTATCTCAATCTCTGTCTCTGTCTCTCTCTCTCTCTCTCTCTCTCTCTCTCTCTCTCTGTCTCTCAATTTCAGCCTCTTTCCTCTCTATCTGTGTTCCATATTCTCTCCTTATCTGTTCCATTTTCTCTATATCTGGTTTACTCTCTCTGTCTCAATCTCTCTCTCTCGCTCTATCTCTCTCTCTCTCTTGCTCTCTCTCTCTGTCTCTCATCTTGTTCTCTAACCTGTGTCTCCCCTGCCAGGACACAACCACAAACTTCTATGCCTGATAGTGACATCCTGGCACGGACCTGAAGCCCCCCCTCCCTTTCCCCGGCCCGCCCACCACTGGCAGCCTATATCAGGAAGATTGTGTGGCCAAGACACAATTTGCTTGATTGAATGACTCATTTTTTGTGTCTCCTGCTTGTTCTGTCACTGGAAATGTTCTGAGATGTAGGATTCTTAAACTGATTAGCCATGGGGCTTTATTTCACAATCCAGATGTCCTTGCTTTATTACACTTCTCTCTCCCTCTCTATGTCTTTCCCTCTGTCTCTCTCTCTCTTCCTCCCTGTCTCTCACTCTTTAGCCACTCTCTCCTTATCTCCCTCCCCTTCATCCTCTCTCTACCTCTACTCCTCCTTCTCTTAGTGATAAGCCATTTCTCAGTAGCTATTTTGCTTGCCTGCTGACCCCTGGTCCTGTTTCCTGATTTGGATAGAGGCTACTTTTTTTCCCCTTAAAGAAATGACACATCTCTTGCTCTCTCTCTCCATTGCAGCCTCTTTCTTCGCATGAGTATTTTTCTGAGTATATGTGTGTGTTTGTATGTTTTTATAATGCTAGTAATCCCATGAGTTGGGGGGGGGGGGGGGGGGGAGCGGATGTCTAAATGTGCATCCATCAGGTTCCAGCACCCTGGGACGGAGTGTTTTTAAAAATTACTATTGTGGTGTAATGTCAACAACTATCAACTGCAGCTATATTCACAGGTCTCAGGAAATGTGTAAGAAGACATCTCAAATTTACCATTTCATCAATTCTCTTTATGCTTAGTGGCACATGAGGCTTCAGAGAGGATTTTCCATGCTTTCCTGTGCTTTCTTCAGTGCAGTTTTCCATGTCAGAGATGCTGCATTCAGGTCACTCTTCATTGTTTATCTCCATGTTGTTTTTGGGCGCCCCTTCTTTCTCTTTCCCTCTGTGTCCATGTGAGAGCTGTTTTGGCAGGTATATCAGGATTCATTCTCATAACGTGGCCAAGCCATATCCATCTTCTCTTGGTTATCATACTTCTAGAGTTTCTTGGTTTGTGACTTGAAATAGTTTAGTGTTTGAGATTGTATCTGGCCAGAAAATTTTGATAATTCTACGTAGACATGTGTTGTGGTGGAAGGTGGATAGCTTGAGTGCATCCTTTTTGGTCATTCTCCAGCATTCTGCTCCATAAAGAAAAACTGGCAAAATAATGCTCTAGTAGAGTTGAAGTTCCGTTCCTCTGCAGTAACTGTTGGATTTCCAGATTTGCCTCATCCTTCCAAAAGCAGCTCTAGCTTTGTTCAGGCGTGATTGTATGTCTTGTTCTGTCCCTCCCAGTAGGGACATCACACTACCAAGATATGTGAAATGTTCTACATTTTCAAGTGTTTGGTTATTTATGGTCACTGGTTGTTGGTTTGGACTGCTTGTCATGATCTTAGTTTTCTTTCTATTTATTCTCAGTCCCTCCTTTTTTGCTGTATTGTGTAGTCTGTGAACTTTTTTTCTTGTATATGTTCATGTTTATGTGATAGAAGTAATCCAATCAATCACAAGGTTGAAGAGGAGAGATGACATAACACATCGCTGTCTTACACCTGTCTTTACTGGGAAAGACGTAATTTTTTTTTATACAGCTGGAAAAGTCTTTATAAAAGAGAGCAGTTATGTTGACTATCTTTTCTAGAATTCCATAATGTCATAATATTTTCCAGTGACTGTCTCTATGGACGCTGTCAAAAGCCTTCTCGAAGTCCACAAAATTAATATATATACTTCTCTGCCATTCATTGCATTGCTCTAAAATGTTACGCAGAGTAAAGATATGCTCAGCTGTTCCTCTGCCCTTTCTGAATCCTGCTTGTTCCACTCATACGCATTTATCTACTCCTTTTTTTGAGTCACATTATGATGATTTTTACAATTTACCATTTAACACTAACAAAAACAAAAATGATGGGCCATCTGTAGCCTTGCCTACAAACACTCATAGGAGGCATGAAAAACTAGCACCTCACACCACGCAGTAAAATAGCAACATGATCTGTTGCCATAATTACAGCCTATGCTGACTAGGACAAGACTAGCTCCCTAGTCAGAGGTTGAGTTGAGTTGATTCAAGAACCGACATCACATCACTCAGGGCATTCCTATAAGCACTCCATCCCCATACTCAGAAGGGATTGTAAAGTTCAAATGCTGATGGTGTCAGTAGCATTCTGAATAAACATCCGTCTTGCCTTTCCTCAGAGCCTCGAGCATCTTCCAGAGCCCCTCGTCACTGCTGCATCAATCTCACCAGACTGTGGTGATCCATTTGCTTCTCCGAACTGTACTCGCTCTCTCACAAGGCACTAACACAAGTCAGAGGTTGATCATGGCTAATACAAACTGATTGACTGACTGAAGTGACATTTTCCTACACCACCCAGGGCATGTTCTCTTCAACCCCCCTCCTCCCCCTCCCCCGATTCCTCTAACATTGTTACCGCTGTTGTAACCATGGCTAGCATCTCCTGGGAATTTGTGCTTGGACATTTTGAGTGTAATATCATCTTCTTCTTCGCATTCACCAGCTGTACACTCTGGCGGAAAGTTCTGGTTGCTCGTCCACTACTGAACTGCAGTCCTGCTCCGGAACCTGGCTGTTGCGTGTGCATCAGTTTTACAGATCTCATTCTCTTGAATACTGACTGTTGGTTCCTTGCCTCTCCGGCAGATGCACTCCGACTTCAAAGGAAGCTTCCCAATTAGTCAACTCTTACGACATACTTTTGGGGAGGCAGTGGGTCTATTCTTGTTTTTCCCACAATGGGGCCCCGGAACCCACACGGGGGAGTGTAATATCAATGGTGCACATGTTTTTGTGTGCCGTTACGTTGATTGCAGGCGCCTGTCAAGTGGATTTAAAAAAGTGTAGAGGTGTTGTGATTTATACATTTTTTTCTTTCTATATTTTATCTTGAAAAGACTTTACCGGTTAAACTGTAGATTTTTACCAAATGAGGAACTTAGTCAGGAATAGTATCATAATAATTTATCCCTTATCCCCCCCCCCCCCCCCCCCCCCCCCACCACCATTTCTGTATAGAAATCATCCTTTAAATAGCAGCCAGTAGAAAGTCAAAATATGTTTCTTTACTCTCTCTCTCTCTCTCTCTCTCTCTCTCTCTCTCTCTCTCTCTCTCTCTCTCTCTCTCTCTCTCTCTCTCTCTCTCTCTCTCTCCCTCCCTCTCCCTCTCTCAGGCACACATGCATGCGGGGACCAGCGATGGCACAAATGTTTGTGTACGTGAGCAGTAACTTGCATCTCTATCAAGGCATGCATTTTAACATTTTTAACACTTTTTTTTTTGAGAAATCACAGTATTGATACTTTGTAACACTGTTTACTAGAAAAACTAGCATATTGAACCATTTGCTTTGGTTGGGATGTATCTGTAGAATGCCAAGATTACATGCCTTTGATGCTGTTGGGCATGGTGATCTTAGTAACATTGTGTTTTGTGGTGTACCTACCCCTGAAAGAGAAAGAAGAACAAAGAGGAAAAAGGGAGTAGGGGCAGCCGTGGAGAATGAGGAAGAAAAGTGAGAAAGAGAAGGAAAACAAGAAGGTAAGAAAAAGAGGTGGAGAGGAAGAAGAAGCAAAAATAGGAGGAGGAGGAGGAGAAGGAATAAAAAGATGAAAGAGAGGCAGAGGAGAAGGAGGAAGAAATATAAGCAGACATATCAGGTCTGTGCACTCAATTTCTCTGCAGTGATAAATGTGAAGATTCATGGAAAGCACGGTTCCGACTCATTTTCAGTTTGTCCCTATAATATGGGCATGTGGCTGTGCAGTTCTAACCTGATGCTTCAGCTGAAGCAGACAGAAGACTTATAAGCTTGTAGTGCATCAGGGATGATAATGATTTTGAATAACAGAGGCTATGTATTTGCTAATGAGGAATGTTGTTATGTTTGGATTTTCAGAGTTCCAGTTCTGCAGGAAGTGCACCATCCACCCCCAACAGTGTCAGTTCTGGCACTGAGCGCCACCTCATGGAGTTTGAGGGTCATGCCCTGCAGTACGCAGCCAAGACACTGCAGTCTGTGTAAGTGTCTGTTTTATGTGTAACACTGGTTTGGGTCATCAAACCACAACCGTTCTATGTGTAACATTGGTTTTCTTTATCGAACCACAACTGTTTAATGTGTAACATTGGTGTGTTTCATCAAACCACAAGCGTGTTTTGTGTAAATCCAGTTTGTTTTATCAAGCCATGACTGTTTTATGTGTAACATTGGTTTGTTTCATCAAACCACAACTGTTTTATGTGTAACATTGATTTGTTTCATCAAACCACAACTGTTTTATGTGTAACATTGATTTGTTTCATCAAAGCACAACTGTTTTATGTGTAACATTGATTTGTTTCATCAAACCACAACGACTCCAGTAGCAACAGAATAACAACAAAAGGTCACATCAGAACATGAAAAGTATCTCTTTTTTCCTATTTCTCTCGTACACCCTGTATGGGTTCTGGATGGGGGGGTGTATGAGTTGATCTATTAGGAGTCTTTCCTTCGAAGTCAGGTGGAGAACAAGCACTCTGCATACAACTAAGCCAGATCATTAAAATGAATATGCACGCAAAACTCAAATAGTGGAACAACTACAGTCCAGAAGTGGATGAACAACTAGAACTTTCCATCAAAGCTAACAGCCAGAAAATGTGTAGAAGATGATTCTCACCTACAGGGAAGAATTTCTTGGTGCCGAAGTTTTCAGGTTTGATCATGAAACCTTTCTGGACTGTCAGCATCTATCGACTGGCACCTCTGATTTCAGTGTACTTTTCCGTTCGGATTTCCTTAGTCGACATAGACCTATCTATTGTACAGTGGATGTTTTATGATTGAAGTCCCTTCTTCTAGATGGATTGATGAGCTGTTTCTGCTTGGCGTATATATGTTTTACCAAGGTGTGACTGTCTACCCCACACCATCTCCCAGCCTGGAGAACCAGGGTGTCTCTCTTGGTTCTCTTCCCTTTGACCTGTCCAGCTTAGGAAGCCTCCCTGGAAACTATGATACCGCTGGCTTAGCTCTCAGGGTAACTGAGAAACATGAACACCTCCACCTTGGCAGCATTGAGACATTTTGTGGAGACATGAAAAGTCAAAATAGCATTAGCAGAAGACACAATTTTGATTAAATTCTTGCTTCTGTTCCAGGCCACTGTACATGGAGAAGAAGCCAGGCTCAGAGAAGATGGTCAGATTTGCCGTGCGATCGCTGGGCTGGGTGAAGATTGACGAGGACGATCTGACTCCAGAACGCAGCAGTAAAGCCGTCAACAAATGCATCATCGACCTGTCCTTGGGCCGAAACAATGTTAATGATGCCGTGGGACGCTGGGGTGATGTAAGAATACTTTTTTTTTTCTCTACTGAGATGTGTCTAGAATTTTAGCTCATTAAGTTGCAGACAGTTGGTAGCAGTAGTTGCTGGTGCTTCATTAACAGGCTGTCTGGGACAAGTCATCACTACAGAAGTTTTTCCTTGTTTCTTTATTAACCCACCGGAGACGACTCTGCCTAAATATCGGCCAAAAGGACGACGGGGCCGATCGGTCGGCCCTATATAATAGAAGAATTGATATTGGCTGGCAGATTTTCGTACCAGCCAGTCAGACTGATTCTTGTATTTCTTGCACATGACTGCTGTTCATAGATGGTTTTCGAGAAAGTTTGATGTGTTCTGTAATTTCACAACAATTTTTTTCCTGGGGTTACCTGTGCCCATAAATGGCGAAAAGGCCTGTTTCGTCATAGCAATCGAAACATAGCTGGAACCAGGAAAATTAGTAGAACCATGTGCCATATGTGTCTGAAGGGCCTCCAAGGGCCTTACTTCCCAAAATACAGGTGTTAGGGCTTATTCGAGCTTCATCCATAAAAAATTCACCCAAATTGTTCAGGTTAGTTATGTTTGTTCCTGAGTTTTAAAAAAATTGCTCGCATAAATTAAACAAATAAGAATAGCTAATTTGAATAAATGTTGAGATTTCAGTTTGATTCTTAAAAATTATGTTAGTTCATTCAATGTTGTGTATGAATATATCTAGTTTTTTAATATGTAAATTAAAGGCTTAATTTTCAAAAACTTTTTGTGAATAAACTGAGAATTCCCTCCATTTTCTTGGCACCGAAACTCCCCCCCCCTAAATAAAAGGCTTAGTCTCCAAAGGGTTAACTTCCACAGTGAACCCAGTCAACCAGCCAGCCATCCAAACACCAGCTAATCAACAGTTAGTCACCATCTACTGCCTGAATGATTGATTATGGAATAGTTCTTATGTTTTATCATTTTATGAGGCCGACTTCAGGCCTTGTTCAAGACAGTAATTGTAGTATCATTAGTATAGATTGTGTCTGAACAGTTTTATGTATCAAATCTGTGTTCTTTGAGGGCATTACCCTCAAACTCCATGAGGCTGTTTATTTTCACATATTGCATGTCTTTCCAGGGCAAGGATTTGTTTATGGATCTGGACCACAACAGTCTCAGGCTGGTTGATCCGGTTGATGGACTGACTTTGAACTCCCAGCCCATTCACTCAATCCGTGTCTGGGGGGTGGGCAGAGACAATGCCAGGTCAGTATTTTGTGTCTACCTGCAGGTAGTAAAAGATCCACGTGAGTTGACTTCAGACATGAATAGATGGAGAGTAGAGTGAGGGACAGCAGGAAACAAAGCTATGTTAACTCTTTCAGTTCCAGGGGGTTTAGCATCAGAGGTCCAAGGGGTAGTACAGAGAGACATAGAATTGGTGCATCTTGAGTTCACCGGGCTTCTAGGTAGGAACATATGAGTGTATGATGCTTTCCTTGGGACTGAAAGAGTTAAGACACATTGCCACCTTCAGTCTGCAGGTTCCTTTACAGACCGTCGCTCTCTTCATGGCATGCCTGAAACTCTCTCTTTCTCTAGCCAATTCTCCAGCCCTATGTGCTTTCATACATAACCAGTGCATCTTCAGTTTCTTGTATCCACCTTCACAAAGGTCTGCCACTGTCTTATTTTCTGGAAACTGTATCCTGCATCACCAATCTCTCCAGGCCACCGTGACATTTAACATGAACAGCTTTCGGGACAGGATGCTGTCTATGAGCTACTTCTCCTCGATGATCAGATTGTCTAGGGTGTTATTGTTTTTTCTTTTTCTTGGTAAACAGTATTCTAAGAATTTTTGTGTTGCATTTCAGTTTAAAAAACAAAATGCTTTTAAACTGAAATGCAAGATAGTTAAATGTCACACTTTGTTTTGGCAGCTGTAGATCACATTTATCAGTAGGTTGTAAATGATAGTGTAGGATATATAGTATATGACAGCTAGCTGGTAATGGTCACTGATATGTTACTGGGATCTATTTGGGAAGTAATGAATAGTAACACCACTCTACCCTATATGCCATAAGCGGCACATAAGGAGGGTTGGCATGGCACTGACTTCTTTACCTACAAAATCCAACAAGTCATGGACAAATCTTTGACCTTGTGGTTGTGTATACATAGCATAGATACAAAGAGGATATCTCAGTTTGCCAGTATTTAAAGAAATGTGGGGTTAAAGATTTGTGTTGAAAATACTTTTCACAATCAGAATGAGCCTGTACACATTTTGGCTGCTGCTAAGACACCAAGACAGTATATCATAAACATCAAAAAGAATATTTGTTGACTATGTTATGAGAGGAAACTGGGTGTAGAATATTATGGCAACTGGAAATATTAATGGAAGAAAAAGAAATAAACATTGAGTGAAGATCCATTACAGCAAGGCTATTATAGTAAGTTTACTCAGGGGCCAGAATACTCAAAATAGGGATTGTCACAGTCCAGTGACTCGAGTCTCAACATTGAAAGATCAGTGATACAATATAACTGGCAGTAATCTGTAGGCCACTTGCTAGGTTTCTGAGAGCCACATTTGGCCTACGAGAACAACATGGAATGGAACAATATCAAACAAACTGGTACATTCTGAATTATGTTAATGATGATGATGATAGCAGCACTGTAGCTAATAAGCGATCCACTCCCAGCATGTCCATAAAGTAACCAGGGTTGCTTGCCACTCTACCACTTATAGTCTTGTTATATGCAAAACACATTAACCAAGATGTTTACAACTATACAAATATTGATGATGTCATTGTTTCTGTTGGTCTTCCCATGCTGCCTGGACAACAGAGAGAGGTAATTTGTATTTTATGTATAGTGAAATGGATAGATGAGAACGACAGTATTTAAATCTTTGGTGCCTTGTAGATATTAGTCAAGTCATTCTTTCCCAGAAAGTTTTTAATTGATGGGCCATCAATTGGGTACTAAATATTTGGGCCAGAATGGTTAAAACACCATGAGCTCCCTTTGTGGCTTCTGGGGCCTTATTGTAAGGAAAATCACAATAGACTTACTGCCAACCCAAAAGTATGTTGTAAGAGTTGACTGATAGTGAGCTTTCTTTGAATTTTGTGGAGTGCGTCTGCCTGAGAGACAAGAAACCAACAGTCTTCATACAAATAAGTTGGCTGTGTAACTGACGTGACAAATATATACTTAGTTGCTTAGTAGTGAGAGCAATATAGGGCCAAGCTTGATGTAAGCAAGTGTGTCATGGATAATCAGCTGATTAGTTGGAAATTATATGAAATACAGATATGTGGTTTGTAGGAGAATTACGATACACCATGGACAGATTAACGAAAAAAATTTACTTGAAAGAAATTAATTCAAGGAGAACTTGTTACCTGCCTCAGAAGGAGAGAATCTACATTCTTTGAGTATTCCTTTAGAAAGAGAAAACTGTAAGTGCAACGTGACAACGGGAAGCCGCTGTGGTGTAGTGGCCAGACATTTATCCACAGATCGAAAAGTTGTGGGTTCAGAAATGACCTTGGCTGCCAGGTTGACCCAGCATTAAATGGGTACCAGGTACAGTCCTGGGAAGTAAAGGCAGCTGGCATGATGCTAACCACATCACCGACCAAGTGCTGATTGGGCTAAAAAAAATATAGGTCCAACCCTATGTGCCCATTACGCCTAAAGGTGCTGAAAAGGGTCCTTTACTTAAACAATACAACGGGAAGGTTAGAAAGTGTAACTTCCTTTAGTTCCTAGATTTTTGGTACCAGATTTGTAGGCTGGGCCAAAGCCAGTAGTATGTAACTTCATTAGTTTTTGCAGGTTAGTTAATAAATCGACCGATCATTCTCATCGCACATTGGACAAGTCCATAATCACTTGGATCCAATATTAAGTATCTTCCTGATAACATCAGTTCTGTCTTGGTTTGCTCTACTTTGGCTGCCTGTGTAGTGTTCATCTGTGGCAACATCTCTTGTAAGATGATTTTTAGTTAACCTGTATTTCTGTATTCCCATTTGTTTCATTGTCTGTCTTTTGAACATCTGCCTTCAGCTTTTTCTCTCTCTCTCTTTCTCTCTCTCTCTCTCTCTCTCTCTCTCTCTCTCTCTCTCTCTCTCTCTCTCTCTCTCTCTCTCTCTCTCTCTCTCTCTCTCTCTCTCTCTCTCCTCTCTCTCTCTCTCTCTCTCTCTCTCTCTCTCTCTCTCTCTCTCTCTCTCTCTCTCTCTCATTTTATATAAGAGTGTTATTTCTTCTAATATGATTTGACATATCTCTTTTTATTACTTCCATCAAATCTGCATTGCCAACTTCTCTAAGAGGTCTGCATATTTGATTATGAAATGCAGCCTATTCTTCATAATATAAAACATTACCATGGCCTCATTGATATGTAAACAAAAATATAACACCTATTAATTGTTTCTATGACAGGGATTTTGCTTACGTAGCCCGTGATCGTGGCACTCGTACACATATGTGCCATGTTTTTCACTGTGAGGCACCGGCTCGTGAGATTGCCAACACTCTCAAGGACATTTGCAAGAAGATTGTTCTGGAACGCAATCTGCATCAGTCAGCCGTAGCTAGACTTACCAGACCCACCGATCTGCCCAACCTGGACAAAATGGGTCAGCCCAAGGGGGAGAAACTCTCATTTCAGAATCTGTACAACAGTAAGTTGTTGAACTTGAGTCTGTGAACATTACTACCTGTTTCTATATTTAGAACGAGGATTCTTGACCTCTGGTAATGGAAGGTTTTAGCGGATCTAGTCGCAATGAGGAGGCACTGCAGTGCTGAGATGTTAAGGGAATTTTCTTTATACAAGGATTAGTCACCAGTTGTGTAACAAACATTGTGTCACAGTGTTCATCACATTAGTAATGAATCACATTTTTGTTTAGATTTCCTAATTAAAGTTTCAGTTCAAGTTACTGTTTTTAGTTTACACATATGTTCATTAGATAAACTCATTAACACACTCACACGCACACACACACACACACACACACACACACACTCACTCACACACACTCACTCACACACAAACACTCTGTCTCTCCCACATACATACACACACACACTCTCACTCACTCACTCTCACTCACTCACTCACTCACTCACTCGCTCACTCACTCTCTCTCTCACTTTGTCTCTCACTCTCTCTCCCTCTCACTCACTCACTCACACTCACTTTCACTCACACTCTCATACTTTCTCACACTCACTCACCCTCGCTCTCGCTCACCTTTCACTCACTCACACTAACTTTCATTCACTCACAGTAACTTACACTCACTCACACTAACTTACAATCACTTACACTTACTCACTCACACTCACTTACTCACTCACACTAACTTACAATCACTTACACTTACTCACTCACACTCACTTACTCACTCACACTCACTCACTCACACTCATTCACTCACTCACTCACTCATTCACACTCACTCACTCACTGTCACTCACACTCACTCACATTCACACTGTCACACTCAGACACTCACCCACACTCACTCAGTCACACTCACTCTCACTCACTCACACTACACTCTCTCACACTCACTCACTCACACTCACTCATTCACACACCACCCCCTCCCCCCAGTTTGTAAGTTAAAATAAAGTAAATAAACGGAAAGTAAAAATTAAATTAACATAAATGTAGAAGTATCATAAAAGTAAAGTCAAACTAAAATTAACAGAAAATAAAGTAAAGTGAAAAAAAAAAATAGCATAAAGTAAATTGGAAGTAAACAAATTAAAAGTGGAAACAAGTAGAGCAAAGTAAACTAAATATGATGAAAAGTGACAGTAACAGTTGCCTTTGCTTTCTTGAAAATTTCTGGGTGCATATTTCTTTAGCCTGGAGCAACTTAGAAACCCAGGTCATAAAAATAAAAAAATAAAAAAACGACATCAAAGAGGATTTCAACACTTGACCATTTGGCTAGAATGTTAGCGTTATGGCTGCTGGTGTTGCACAGCTGCTGGTGTTATCACTTGACCAGTGGGCCAGGATGTGGGCAATCTGACCAGTGCTTAGCACAGCTACCGGTGTTAACACTTGACCAGTGGGCTAGGATGTGGGCATGCTGATCACTGCTTAGCACAGCTACCAGTGTTAACACTTGACCAGTGGGCCAGGATGTGGGCAATCTGACCACTGCTGTAGCACAGCTGCCGGTGTTAACACTTGATCAGTGGGCTAAGAAATGGGCAATCTGACCACTGCTGTAGCACAGCTACCGGTGTTAACACTTGATCAGTGGGCTAAGAAATGGGCAATCTGACCACTGCTGTAGCACAGCTGCTAGTGTTATATAACAAATGTATGAATTCTGACAACATGCAGACAATCTGAAAAAAAAAAAAAATCACAGCAGAGATGTGGTTTCTAAGAAGAATGCAAGAAATTTTGAATGATAGGAAAATAAAAATAAAAATAAAAGCAGCCGTCTTCCTTTCCAATTTAAGTAATTTTTCGGTTATGAAAAGGAATGTAATTGAGAACTTGGTAGTGAGAGAGGCAAAGAGATAAATACCTGGATGGCTTTTCCATCACCAACCTCAACTGTAACTATGGCGATTGTGTGAGATGTTGAAACACAATAGCCTATGATTATTAACACTGCACATGATGATGACAAATTTTGATGTTATCTGTTTTGTTTATCTCGGGACTTGTGTATCCAACCTTACATACCTTAGAGAGTTTTATCTGTTTGCTGTCTCTCCCTAGATGCCAGGTTTCCCACCCCAATGGAAGAGCCACGCAAGGTCATGAAGTGTCACTACCTTGGCTGTCAGGAGGTCACCAGACCAACAGGTGTGTACATGTTCTTCAAAGCAGACACATGTCATTTTTTTCTCCCCAGCTTCCGGTGTGCATTCCGGGATCCCATTATTTGTGCAGGGAAGAAAAGAGACACATTCACTGCACCTTTCCTAGCAAGCATGTAATAAAAGACAACTAAATAACGGTTTCCAGAAATCTGATGTTTTGGGCGGAGAAGTGCAGATATTACAGCCTTGCTGTAGATCACAACACAAACATACCAGCCATTCTTTTTAAGGGAGAACGGAGATAAAGATCTCTCCACTCGTGTTTAGTTGCAGGAAAGTGTGGATTGATGGGCACCACTTAAGATCTGTTATAATCTTATGTTGATCAACCAGCAGCCACTGACTGATTTACACTCGCTTGAGGTTTGTTAGGTCAGACTGACCAGTAGGAGAAGACATTACTTGATGACCTTCAGTTCACAACTCTGACCTCTGTGTAGTGTATCAGTCTACAAATATCATTTCTCAGGTTTTTCTCGTGTGTTTTATGTGGCTCCGTTCGGGGGAGGGGGGTCGGGGGTTGATAAGACTTTTGCCCCTTAACAAGTATACAGTTAAAGATTAGGGGTTCGCCGCTGAATTCAGATGTTTCAAGCTGAAAGGCAAAGATGTCACGGCCTAGCTTTACATCACAGAGACATGTCTTTATAAATGAAAATAAGACTCTATCCTCCTCTTGACTCCTTACTTCTTTTCTGTCTCTCTCCCTCTCGTGTTGTCTCACCGTAAACTAATGTTTGGATCTTTCTTGTCTTTCATTCATTAATCACTGTTTTCCGCTCTCTGTCTCTCTCACCTTCTCTTCTTCCATACCTCCCTCCCTCCCTCTGTGAACTGTTTGTACCACATTGTCTCCCGTAACACTAGAAGACTTATGTACTCAGTCTTGAAATAGAGAGAGATTCTTTAGTAGACATGTCTTTTTAATTAACCCCAGGTCGGGACACCCTGAATGATGCCATCCAGCACAAATACTACACGGTGCCACCAGAAAAGTGGAAGTTTGTCACCATTGGGATCGCTCCTTCAACCATTACCATCACGGAGATTGGGGTCAGTGATACAAATCTTTGTTATCTTTTATTTTGGTTATGATTTGACTATAAGCACACAAACTGATACATGCTGCAGGAGATCGCAAATTATGGAGAGGCATGATCGCCCACGCCAGTCAGCAAGGCACCTGATGATGGTGATAAGCAGACACAATAACCAGATGTTGCTGGGTCTGATTTATCAATCACTCAATTAGTCAGTCAGTCGAGTCAGGTGCCGACTCCACAGTGAAGGTTGGCTGCAACAGATCTCCAGCACACTCTGTTCTGTGTCCTGGTTGTACACTCTCAGACTGCTGTCCACCCATCTCTTGATTTTGTCCTTCCACTTGTATTGTCGCCCACCTCTTGCTCTCTTGTCTTCAACATTTCCCCCCAGTATTGTTTTCAAAAGCGTGTTGTGTCTTTTAATGTAGCCAGTGTGTTTCACTTTTCTATTTTTTTATTTCTTTCAATAATTCTCTTTTTCATTTATAGTCTGTCCAGAACCTCTGTATTGGACTGTTTTTGTTTCCATGAAACAGAGCATGGCTCTGATTTATAGCCCCACTGCATACAGGTTTTCGGTTCTTAACAGGCTTTAGCGCAGTGAATATCATAATCGCCCCTCCCTTCATTTACTTGAGGCCCCACTAAAGTGGGGGATTTTTACAGAAATAAACCTAGGCTACCAAAATGTGCACCAGGAAATATTCTGGGAAGTAAAAACAGCTGACACTATATTGGCAGCGTCACCCACCAAGTGCCAGTCACCCTAAAAATATATCATGGTAGCGAAGTATTTTCAGAACAGAATCCTTCACTGTATCTGTTTGTGTGGTCATCAAAGTCCCAGACCTGTGGGATACTTCCTGCTGATCTCTGCAGGGTGCAACCCTTGATGAGTGGGAAGCTCAACATACAAATGTGAGGTGAAGCAGCCTTGTGGATGGCGTGGCGATTCCTTGGGTGAACTCAGGAACAGAACGTCATGTGTTGGCTCTGTGTTTATGGAACCTCCTTGGATGGTAGGGAATCTCCATGATCTGCCTCTGCCTTTTCTTGAGGGCCGACCAGTCTATTCATGGTTGCCCTGGCTTAGTTCTCCAGAGGCAACACCAGTTGTTAAGAGGACAAAGAGAACACCACACATATTGAAGATTTCCAAGAAGTTAACCTGGTCCAGAAATGCTAGTTGAAGTCAGGTGTCTCGGCCTAGAGGCACAAATATCGCAGCTTTGCTGTAAACAGGCACAACACTGTTACATCACCCAGATGAACTGACAGAAGAAGAATCTTTCACCTGCACTTTCCTTTCTTTAATTCTCATTTACTGAATCATTTTGTCCCTTAGAATGTCAGTGTATTTTATATTTTCTATATTTTTGGTGCATAATTTTCAGAATCCAGATGGTGTCATCGAGGAGTGTCGAGTCCGATTTCTATCTTTCATGGGGATCGCCGTAGATAACGTCAAGTAAGACATTTCTCCTGGTTTAATAGTAACCTCTAACTGTAGCTTTTAACTGTCGCCTTTCGACAGACATTGTTTTAGTTTTATGTTTGCATTTTAGGTTCCTGAAAAAACTTGTACTGATCATGGCTGTTATATTTGTTACGGCCATTGGTTGTAAAATGCAACTAAAATATATTAGTAATGTCATCATTATCGTCATCAAGTGCCCTGCCGACTGGCGTAGGCATTCATGCATCTCCACGGATCTGGGTTCCTTGTCTTCTGGATCAGTTTCACCATTGATATCCCTCCGTACCACCGTCACAGTTCATCCTTCATCATCTCTTGGTCTGCCTTTCCCTCTTCTACCCTCGATCTTCCCAGTTGTCACAATATTCTCAAAGTTTCTTTCTCAAACCTTCACACCTATTCTGACCCCAGTGGTCAACTGTGTATGTTCAACTTGCTCTTTCCTGATCACCTTTACACTGTTATTCTTGTTCCAGTGGTCACCTTTGAATGTTAAACTTGCTCTCTCATGATCACCTATACACTGTTACTCTTAGCCCAGTGGTCACCTGTGTATTTTAATCTTGCTCTCTGATGATCACATGTAGACTTTTCTTATCATGTTTGTCTGTTCACAGATTGCCCACCTTTATGTCTTGGCCTTTTCCTATGTTTGTTCACAACCAATTACCCTTTGTCCCTCTATCCAGGCTGTTTCACAACTGACCTCCACCCCTGTATGGATTCCAGGACCCCATTATGGAGAAAACAAGGATAGACCCACTGCCTCCCTATTTAGCATGTTATAAGAGTCGGCTAATTAGGGGTTTCCTTCAAAGTTGGAGTGCATCTGCCTGAGAGGCAAAGAACCAACAGTCTGCATACAGATGAGCCACATCTGTAAAATGACTGTGTATGCAGCACCTAGGTTCTGGAACAAGACTAAAGTTCATATGTGGAGGAACAGCCGGAACTTTCTTCTGTAGTTTACAGCCGGTGGATGCGAAGAAGAACAAGACTGACCTCCACAGTTGTGTCCGGATCTTAGCTTGTTCACAACTCACTGACCTCCATACAGTTATATCATGACCTTTACTTGTTCACAGACTGTGTGCTTTCATCATGCACACATCCCAGAACAAGTTCATCTGCCATGTGTTCCACTGTGAGCCCAGCGCTGGACCCATGTGTAAGACCATCGAAGCAGCATGCAAGGTGAGTGTCTTCCTGTTAGCTTGAAGATCCTGATACCAAGATCCCTAAATTGAGTTTACAGTCATTAGAGACAACTGTGTAGGTTTTCCCTTGAATAGGAAAGTATCTCTGAACATCAAAGGGGATAGACCCACAAATACTTATCATTTCTTGTGAACTGAAATACCATATTAAACACAATTTTTAGTTTGGAGAATGCACTAATGGAGTGTACAGTTTCTAGAAGAGGCAGGGGTCAACCAGCAGGAGACCATGTAGGTCTTGTGTGTCTTGATGAGAACAATGTTCCACTACATGATGATGAAAGTGTCAGCAGCATCAAAGTCCAAGGTATTGTCAGAACAGCGGCATGTTGGACTCTGAAACAGATGAAAGTAATTCTAGAATGTCTTGTTGTGATGTGGATAATTTTTAATTATTCATCTCCTGCTTTGTCTGTGAGGTCTTGCCATTCATTTGAGATGTTTTAACGCTTATCAATCATTTTTATCACCGATATATATGACATCCATTTGAGATGTTTTGAATCTTGTCAAGAGTTTTAATCATTAATCTTATTATTGAATTGTTCCACTTTGTTAATCTTATTAGTCACTTGTTTTTCTTATCCATAATTTGTTCCTGATCTCAGATTAGATGATGATATAATTTTTTCAACTGAACTGACCCTTTCTTGTTAATGAGGTCAGTCTGACATCTATGAGTTCCAGTTGCAGTGATGTTGGCTCACTTAACAAATAACACCATGATAAATAATTATTTAAGGCTCAATATGACAGAAACAAAGGCTAGGGCACATTGATAACTTATCACAAATATCAGAAAAAAGGATAAGATACAAAGATAATCTATCTCAAGTGTCAGAAAAAAAAAGGATAAGATACAAAGATAACTTATCACAGATGTCAGAAAAAGAGGCTAAGGTACAAAGATAAATTTACACATATCAGAATAAAAAAATGGTAATGTACAAAGATAACACATCACAAAAAGGCTAAGACGCAAAGATAACATGTCAGGAAAAAAAAAGGTAAGATGGAATGATAGATTATCACAAACGTAAAAAAAAAAAAAAAAAGCTAAGATAAAAAAAAAAAATTTAAACAAATGTCAGAAAAAAGTTAATATAAGAGGAGAACTTCTCACAGTTGTCAGAAAAAGGCTTAGATACAAATATAACTTATCACAAATGTCAGGCAAAAAAAATAAAGGCTAAGGCGCAAAGATAACTAATCAGTCATGTCAGATACACATACACACACGAACAAAAAAGCTTGGACACAAAGATAAACTCATCACACATGTTAGAAAAAGGAACAGACTAAAAGAAGTCGGAGGTTCGCTTGTCAGAGTTAGTTAGTCTTTCCTCTTGTGTCGAGTGCGGCACATAGGGCAGAGGTCATGACTCTCCATGCATGGCGGTTCGTTGCAATCTGTTGTAGGTCTTTGATGTTTGAGTGGCCCATGAGCGAGCCTTCCCTGATGATAGTTCTACGTAGGGTTTCCCTTGGTCTTCCACGAGATCTTTTCCCCTGTGGTGTCCAAATGAGGGCTTGGTAAGGAAGTCTTGATTTATCCATTCTAAGGGCGTGGCCGACATAGTTCCAGCGGCGTTTTCGTATAAAATTAGACACATACTCTTGCCTGGATTCTTGCCTTATTTGTGTATTTGTTCGGAAATCTGACCATTTTCAGAGTCCTGCTAGTAATTCATGTCTGGGTTGTCATATAAAACATGTTTCATCTGTTGCAGTTGCGCTACCAGAAATGTCTGGATGCTCATCCACAGACTCCTAAAGGAGGTCTTCCTGGCAAGGTATCTCAACATTTGGTTGTCGTTAGTTGTTGTTTTAGTTTTCTTGTTGTCTGCACCTTTGTGTTTATCTGTTACATCAGATTTCTTGTTGTTGCTAAATCTGCGTTTATAGATTATAGTCAGATATTTGACTGTAACTCTGTTTTTTGTTGTTTTGTTTTTTAAAATAAATTATTGCTGTTTGTAATTCTGTTTTGGTGAATATTAAAGTTACAAAAGCTAGAGCTGACACTGCGGTATGACCGCACTCTTACTAGTGTCTTTCTGTAGCCTGCAAATAAGTTAAGAGAGGGACATCTGAGAACAGACATGTTAAATACCTGGATTGGCAACACTGGTCAAGAAATCCCATGCTCTAACCCTAACTCACCCTTTAATGCCTAAGTCAGTGATTCCCAAACTGTGCGCCGCGGCGCCCAGGGGAGCCGCGACCTATTCACAAGGGCACCGCGAAATGTTGTAAAAGCTTCATAATTATCTTACCAAGACATGAATAGTCATACTCTTACTTAGGTGATTTCGCTGTGGAAAAAATTTAATTGAAAAAAAGGTGCCGCAACCAAGAAAAGTTTGTGAAACACTGGTCTAAATAGTAGTGGGTCTTGCTAATCACACTCAGCATCATCATGTGCTGTGATTCCAGTGCCTCCATATAGCACAATAAATCACTGGACAAGGGGAGAGGTGCCAGCTGTTGTAGCTGTCATAAATTCAGTGTGTGTTTTTCCCCACAAAGTGAGCAGGAGTTACAGGACCTAGTGGATCAGGCAGTTGGCACATACGGGGTATAGACTAGACATTATTTAAAGTGTATGTGAAACAAATCTTCCCATAAGAAATAAATGGAGAGTGATTACTCGGCTCCTTTAAGAAAAGATCCTATTGTTATTGGCATATTATGCGTTGTGTTTGTATAAAACAGTTTATGTATAGCCGAGTAAATACAAATATACAAAAGTAGTTAAAGGAAAGTAATACAAATGGAGCCTCACTTTTACCTTGCTGAATGAACAAACAAACAAACTTTATTTTTAGAGGGTTACTTATTGGGCATGCAGGCCTGTTTTTAGATTCAGTTCTTCCAAGCATTCATCTTTCAGACCACAGTTGCATGTTATCAGTAAAGCGTGTTATGTTTAGATAAAAATATACACAATGCATGCACACTTCATGAATAGACAATCATACACATTCCATATATACACGTACACATACTCTTATATGCCGATATGTACACAGAAGTGTTGAGTGCCTACTAGTGAACTTACTTCAGGAATCTAAAATGCTGGTATCCCCCCCCCCCCCCCCCCCACCCACCCCCCATCTCTTTTCACTACTAAGGCCTGGTTGAAGCTCATCAGGTTTGACTTTTGCTAAATGTTGAATGTTGAATTAAGAATCAACATCACAGCACTCAGGACACCCCAGAAGCACTCTGTCTCCATCCTCAGCAGCAAGCGAAGAGTTAAAATTCCGATGGTACCAGTAACTGTCAGATCCGTCTCGTCTTTCCCCTGAGTGTTCAAGCGTCAGCCAAATCCCCTTCTCTTAGTGCCGTTCTCCTCAGACCGTAATTAATTATCTGCTTTTTTTTTTGCTAAAGATCTGTCCAAAAGACTTTGCTTCTGCCTTCTGCTCAAGATATTTCAGAAATAGGAGATTGTCTGGTCATTCCAAACAATGCTATTATGACTTGTTTCGGCTTTGTTGTGGTGATACTTCTATGTAAAGTTATTGACATCTGCCCGTGGCTTTGTCTCCCGAGAGGCAAAGACAGTGCGTGGTGCAATGACTAATTTTGACTCCTACAAGTTCTAGCACAGGGTCGTATTCCAAACAAAGGTCATATACCAAGCAAAGGTCGTATACCAAGCAAAATTGTTTGCGTCTAATCAGAGCGTTGAACAAATTGAACATATATCAGAGCAAACATATACCGAGGTACCACTTTTTATTGAGGTAATTTGTAAGCCTAAATTAAACTATTTAAACAAGATCTTACAAAAAAGTAGATCGGTTCTAAGTATATTTTCTTCTGATTTATAAGTAATTTGTAGAGAAATATATACTTTAACAGCTTTCATACCCTCACAGCGGTTTATGTTGTTTGTTTTAGTATCCAAAAGCCATGAGTTGTTAACCCTTAGGCTCGGTATTATGGATATCGCAACCTTTCGGCCTTGATTCCATTGTAAATACCGTAAATCTGGGAGAAATGTGGCTTTTCTGCCTACCCCCAGGAGTGAAACCGGACCACAAGGAGTTCGTCACCCGTTCACCACGCAATCCGGTTTAGCCAACTACGCTCATGGCGGTTTATAAGATTACAAACTAAGCTGATATTTGTTCAGAAAAACCATAATTATACAATATTGTTTTGATTTTCTGTACATATATCTTGTTAAGCGATATTGTGTATGCTTCAAGTGTTGTTTTTTTCTTTTCATTTCTTTTATTTACATTTTCACGTTGTGACCTGTAGATTGTTAAACAAGTTTTTAGGGCTGGGGTTCAGTTCGGAGTTCAAGGGCTGATAGAGGTCAAATCTAGTGCAGTGCAAAGCATGATGGGAATGCTGAGCTTATTCAGAGGAGGCACAAATTCTTCGGCCGAAGAAACTTGATGTTTGTACATCTGTGGTAATATTTTATTTTATTGTTTCATAAAATATCATTGTTAAACACAAGGCTGTAAAAATACAGCTTCAGAGTGAGGTGCTATCTCTCTTGCTCAATGCCTTTACCTTCATTCAGTTAAATAATATTGACATTTGGGGAACTGGTAAAGCCCACAAGCGAGCACTTGGACACATTGGTTAAAGCTCACATAAGAAAACAAGCACAGTTACTGACTGGACCTTTCATAAGTAGCATATACGTTGTTTTTATTAGATGTCTCGTAAGAAAACGTGCAGAATAATTGTTTGGACTCCACATGTGAAATCATGTTAAGAGATTGATTGGACATAACATAAGGCTATATGTAAATGTATCGACTGGAGCTGACATCAGGGGCACAGGACATAAAAGAAAGAAGTACATATGGAAGCTTTTACAATATTTTTTGTCTACTTAAGTTAATGTTTTATGTTGCCTTAGTTACTCAAAACTGCAGTAAATGTTACTTTTTTGTTTGCTCATGCTAATATTTAAAAATTATTGTTGTTCACAAATATTAATTATATGCATTTCTGGAAAGAACTTTTTAAAATGTGTTAATGTTAGAAAAATATAAATCTCTTTGTGGGAAAATTGTAAACACTGTCCCTTTCACTACTGTCTGTTTTACCACTTTTTAGGGCGGTGTAAATATAAAACAAGTATGATTACAACAATTAAAAAAAACATGACAGAATCAGTAAAGGAAATTTTCTTTTTTGGAAGACTACTTTAAACTTTTCTTCTTCCAGAAGATCTGTTGCCTTAAAAAATAAACCTTTGGCCCTGGTTCACATATGGGCATTATCCATTTATTTGATTCAATTTCATTGATATTATTCCAGCTAAGACTAATTTTATAACTTTATAGACCCACTTTATTGGTCATGTTTTGAAATTCTCTTGGGTTTTTCTAAGTTCATAATGTATGATTTGATGGGGAAAAAATAACACACAATTTTATTGTAAATAACACTTGCATGCCACAGAGCTTTTGTTGTTGTTGTTGTTGTTGTTGTTGATGTTGCCATCTTCATGTTTGGTGTTCTATGAATAAGCAGTGTTGAGAAACACAATAGTATAGTGAATCTGCATCCTTCAATTTCATGAGCCATGTTACTTGCACATTTATGTTTGCCTGTGTATTCTTTTCTTTTTCCATTAGTTATGCACATTGTAACTTCATTGTTTAAACCTGAACAGTCATCATCATCATCATCATCATCATCCTAGTGTGCCATTTCATGTAGCAGAAGGCTTGTAGTCTGGTCCTTCATTCTGTTCTGTCCTGTGCGGTCATCTTGATTGTTATGGATGAAATCTAGTCTGATACCATAGGACTCTCCCATCATTGGTAGTTTCATGGTTTCTGTTGGACGTCCTGAACCTGGACAAATATCCCAGTTCACTTTCTTGGCCACTGGTTTTATTTCTTCTCTTTTCTTCACATGGAGTCTACAGTTCTCTGAATTTCTAATGCTGTCATAGGCGTTTGATAACTTAACAGAACCAGAACAAGCTAAGGAGTGTGAAACAGATGACCAGCTAGATCAGTCATATGTACAAATGGCAATGGAGCATTAACTCATAGTGGGCCTTCTTGGCAGTAAGTTACTTGAAAGGCTGACAAGCAGAAGGCCTGCAGCATGAATAGGAGAGTGTTTCCAAATGGAGATCTTGGTGATTGTAGCAAAGATTCATCAGACACAAAAGTGAAGACTCAAGTCGATGTGTACAAACATGGAACATCAGCCAGTCATGTCCAAGAGATTTGAGTGGGTAATTCGCTTCAGATGCGATAGCAAAGGATAGAATGACTTTTCGTGAGCTGGTTGAGGGCCTATGCTCCATTGAGGGCTAGAGAGGCAGCAGAAGAAGAATTCGCTTCAGACCCATGACCAATTTAGTTTTATATCTGTTTTTGCAGATTTTGCCTGTAGCTAACTGAAAATGAACCAGATTAATATTTCTGGAAATAGGACTTTCCTACAATGAAAGAAAGCATTTTTGTAAAACATTTTCAAAATGGTCTACTGGATGACAAAGGAAAATGAGGAGATTTCTTTTCACCAAACCTGATTTTCCTGGTCTCTATTGTGATGAAACTGGTGAGGATCGTACAACTGGCACTCTTTGTCGCTGAATGAGATTCGCAGCAAATCTTGTCAGTGAGGGTGGACATTTCACATTCAGAGATCTCGCATGCTTGTTAGAAATGACGAACAGGAAACAGTCTTCTTCTTTGTGTTCACCGGTTGTAAACTTCAGCAGAAAAGTCCTGGTTGTTCATCTACTTCTGGGCTTGTTACAGTTGTGGTATGCAGGCTGTTGGTTCCTCACCTCTCAGGCAGGTACACTCCAACTTGAAATGATCAAACAGTCATAAGCACACTTCAAATTCTTCAGTCATAAAACGGAACACTCTGCCACAAGGTGTTTTTAATTTTCATTACAGTAGACAGCAGTTCAGAATCAGATCATAACATTACAAAGATGAATAGAGCTCTAGAACAAATCTCTGATGGTCATTTTATTGTTCAAGATGGAAAGTGAAAAATGCTGGTCATCCTACTTCATGACTACTAGCATACATGACATTTTTTAACATTTTTGTTTTGTTTTGTTGAAACCACCATCTTGAGAGTAGACATTTGGCAGAAACTTGCTGCTCTGAATGTTGGTGACCTTCCTGTGCCATTTAATTTTAAGTTGACATGTTACTGAATTTGTCTTAGGTTTTTTTCTGCCTATCTTCTTCAAATATCTTCACATTAGACTGCAACTGTCCATTCTCATTATGTTTCCATCTTATCTATCCCTTATCACCATTTTGTAAGATAGAATTTGATCATGTATCTCAGAATTGTCTTTACTTTTTTTTTCTGTCATCTTATAATATCACATTTGCTGAAATCTCTCAGCACTGATTATTATTTTTGTTTTATCATCACCTTGTGAGTTGAAAATGTTTCTGTTATCTGTGTGTGTTTGTTTTCTGCTATGACTACACCTCTGCTCTCAAATTTAATTGTTATGTTTCTCCCATGATTATACCTCTGCTCTCTAATTAAATTTTTCTTTTTCTCCCATGACCACACCTCTGCTCTTTAATTGCATTTTCCTATTTCTCTCATGACTACATCTTTGCTCTCTAGTAACATTTTCTTATTTCTCTCGTGACTACACCTTTACTCTCTAATTACATTTTCCTGTTTCTCCCATGACTACACCTCTCCTCTCTAATTATATTTTCCTGTTTCTCCCATGACTACACCTCTCCTCTCTAATTATATTTTCCTGTTTCTCCCATGGCTACACCTCATCTGTAAGTACGAATATGTTAGTTTATCCCACACCTGCGTCTCTCCTCCTGATAACATTTAATTGTTTCTTTATGATCACATTTCTTTTCTCTAATTACATTTCTATGTTTTTCCCCAAGACTACACCCCCCCCCCCCCCTTCCCTGTTCTCCACTTAATTTAGTGTCTACAATGACTACATCTCTGTTGTCAGATTACATTTGTTTGTTGTTCTCCCTCCACAGAGCCTGAGAAAGAGCATCAAGCAAAGCATCAAATGTGTCTGGGGATCAGTGACGTCTTTGACATCTCCAAAATAAATGGACCCAGTCCCCTCCTGCAGACACCCGCAGGATCCCGGTCATGACTCCAGAAGTGGGTCCTGGCAAAGATCACAGATAGTGGTTGGCATTTATTGTTTTCTTTTTAAACTGAAGATACAGAGAAAGATGTAATCCGAGTCACATCTGCTTCTTTTTCCATTAGTTTCATCGTCACTGTTTAGATGGTGCATTAATGTCATATGATTCTGCTTCTTTGTTTAATACAGTTTATATTTCCAGGGTCTGATTTGTTTATGTAATTACCAGTTTGTATTTTATGAATTAGATTTGTCTAACTCTGCTAGAGGGTTGACTTTTTTCAAGTGGCCATGCTTACAATAATTTTACAAAGTTTAAACTTGAAGACAAGTGTGAACGTTTTTACAATATGAATATGTGGAGTGCTTTTTTCCTCGCATAATGATGTTTGCACACACACACGCACGTGTAATATATTCTTTACAGTTCATTTTTACAGTAACTTGTTGCTATCTTTAATCTAGTTAAATGTAGGCTTTTTCTTCCTTTTTTTTTTGACTGATACATTCAATTTTAATGAATAATATGCCTTGATATGTTGTTTTCACTCTATGTTAACATTGGAATGAATAATTGTTTGAAAGACCAAAAACAAAAATCTGGCTGGAACATTTTATGTTCGTCTACATCATTCTTGCCATTATATCATCAAAAGAACCAATGAGAGTTACTGTTCTTAACTTTGATATATTTATTTTAATTCTTTCTCTACCAAGCGATACTACAGTAACTTATTTGTTCTATTGGCTGGGCCACACGCAACAAATTTAAGAGGTCCAAGTTATTGCTTTTTTTAAAAACCATCAACTTTAGAATACAGTCCTTTTTTGTGATTCTGATATATGTAAATTATAATACATATTTCAGTATGACCATTAACTCGTTCAGTACCAAGCGAATGTAACATTAACTCATTTGTCTTGTTTGCTGGGCCATGTGCAGTAAATTTAAGTGGTCCAAGATATCATTTATAAAAACCCTCAATTTTATTTATAATAGTCATTTTTTTTAATATGTTTATTATTCTTATATATGTAAATTATAAGTTTTTCGGTATTACCATTAACTTGTTGGTTCCAGAGGTGAGTTAAAATATTTACAAATCATCGCATGATGCATTCCTTGGGGAGAAGTTTTGAAGTACAGTGGCAGGCCTTTGAAAATTAGAGGGCTTCACAGGTCTTAGCTAATTAGGAACCACTGGTTTAACTCATTCTCTTCTTAGAAATTGTTACTTTATCTAAGAAATGTTTGGGTCTAAGGAGTTGAAAGTGGTAGCACTACGGGATAGAGGGAGCTAACGCAATAATGAGATGAGGGCCCAAAGATATTAGAAAAGTGTATCATGGACTCAAGAACTCAGTTACAATTGGCAAGGCTGATGGAGAAAGAGCTTACAAAAAGGCAAAGAGATAAATATCTGGAAGCATTTGGTTATATGGATAGTGGTGAGATGGAAAATTGACCTGATTTATGATTCTGGTGATCATGTAAGATTGTGAAGCATAACAGCGTAGGCTTCTTGGCAGCGCACAGGATGATGAGGTTCTTATGTAATGTTTGTTGAAGTGTGCAGATTCACACGCAAAGCTGGACAGTACTGCCTGAGTTAAAAAGAATTTTGAGGTTTATGACATGCTTTTTTTCTTTTAATTCTGTCAGTCTGATATTTTAGCTGTAGTTAGTCATCATTGTTATCTCACTGTGTTGATGTGCTTTTATATTTTATATTTATACTCTGAAAATTGTGATACACCTGGTGGAGAATTTTGTTCATATCATTGGCACTTACTACACCGTAGCCAGTTAAGCGCTAAATCCTTTTTTTCAAGCAATCACATTTGAACATTGAGTGCAAATGAAAAGGTATTAGTTTCTGAAATTAATGCCTCATTTTGACTTATTTTGAGTAGGAAAAAGAGTTCACCTGCAGGTGGTTAACAAGTAGCCTCCAGATCATTGCCAGTAGTATTGTATTTTTTTAAAGCTGGGGCTTGAGCTCTGGGATGTGATGATTCCCGTTTTCAGCATTTTGGCTCCCGAGTATTCAACTGAGCAGCTATGTTTTGAAGTAAATGCATTTGGCTATAAATCACTACAATTGCATTAAGATGACTGTGGTTAGATGCGTATCCTTACAGGACGTTGCAGAACCAACCCCAACAGCCCCTGGCTGTTGTGTGGTTTTTCTAGGCAAATTTACGTCCAGTAGTTTGCCATTGCTTTCTTGATACCACTGTCGAAACAGCGCAAGGTGCATGGCCCGCATCTGGGATCGAACTCGGCCTCCCGGCATTACAAAGCGTTCGCATTGACTTAGCCACAGAGCCGACTGACTGTGGTGTAGTGGCCACAATATGTGATAGCATTGCCAGTATTGTTAGTCCACATATTCTAGTCAAGGATATTATTATACAAAGATACCCTGATTATTTATTTGTTTATTGTACCCCATTTTTCCCTTTTTTTCAGTTTACCTGATAGATCAATTTTTTCTTGTGTACTCACAGTATTTAAACAAAATATGGTTAAACATTTTGTGCGTTATTTTTGTGTCCAGCAAAAACTGTGATCAAGATATTGTCAAGTCATAAATGGCCTCTGCTGAAAGCAATTTTTTAATTGAGGATATGGAGGGTTTCTTGCTCCTGATTACTTCAAACATGATGGTATAGAGAGTTGCTTGCCCTTGATTTACTCATACAGTGAAGATTATGGAGTGTGGCCTGCCCTTGATTTACTCGTACAGTGAAGATTATGGAGTGTGGCTTGCCCTTGATTTACTCGTACAGTGAAGATTATGGAGTGTGGCTTGACATGGATTTACTAGTACAGTGAAGATTATGGAGTGTGGCTTGCCCTTGATTTACTCAAGACAATGGAAGATGTAAAGAGTCGCTTGCCCTTAATATACTCCCTCGATATACTCAATGGAAGATGTTATGAGTGGCTTGCCCTTGATTTACTCAAGACAGTGGAAGATGTAGAGAGTTGCCTGCCCTTAATATACTCCCTTGATATACTCAATGGAAGATGTTATGAGTGGCTTGCCCTTGGTTTCCTCAAACAGTGGAAGATGTAGAGTTGCCTGCCCTTGATTTGCCGAGACAGTGGAAGATGTAGAGTTGCCTGCCCTTGATTTGCTCAGACAGTGGAAGATGTAGAGAGTTGCCTGCCCTTGATTTGCTCAGACAGTGGAAGATGTAGAGAGTTGCCTGCCCTTGATTTGCTCAGACAGTGGAAGATGTAGAGAGTTGCCTGCCCTTGATTTGCTCAGACAGTGAATGATGTAGAGAGTCACTTGCCCTTAGTTTCCCTACAGTCGAAGATGTAGAGATTTGCTTGGCTTTAATTTCCTCACAGTGGAAGATGTAGAGTCACTTGCCCTTGATTTACTCGGAGAGTGGAAGATATTGAGGGTTGCTTTATTAGTGTTGATGGTCCTGGAAAAAGATGTAATAAAACAAAGGATTGTCAGTGACAAGAAACATGAATGCCAGGGAGATGGCTACTATGTTTTATATTCTGAGAGTCTTAGAGTCAGAAAACAAACATAAATTTAATGAAAAAATTCACTTAGTGTATCTGCATAAGAAACTTAAGATTAGCTTTGATAAATACATGATGATCAGGAATGAGAAATGTAAGATGAAGAGAATGGGGAATAAGACATAGAATAAGCCAGACATTTTCAGACATTTAATTCTTATATAATGTTTGTTTGTTAAATTATTATACTTCCTGCAATAAACAACACATTTTCAGTGCACAGAGTTGACATTTGTGTGTTGTAAATTTACTGATGAAAATCTGATGTAACGTTTGGAACATGGGGCTTCAGCATCTGCTCTTGATTGATTCCTTTTCTGTAATTACTTGGTTCCCCCACCCACTGTCACCCCTTTTGAGACTTTTTAATGTCATGTCTGATATCCTTAACATCTTGTACCACACTTTCCCTACAGTACATTGTTCGTACTTTGTATTTAACATATTTATTATTTCAGTTCGTTCATCAGTCTTCATGTCTGAGGCCAGGTGGAAGTCGCTAACTCTTTAAGTCCCAGGGGTGTTAGCATCAGAGGCCTAATGAGATAGTAAAGAGACACGTAAACAAAGGGTGCATCTTGCATTCATTGGACTTCTAGGTAGGAATCTATAAGCGTATTTGTATTCATGGGGACTAAAAGAGTTAAGCTGTAGCTGGTTTAAAAATAGAAAAGAATAGTATTTTTGTATCCATTCCCTTATATGGAAATGATATCCCTAGCTGCACACATCATGGTGAGGCATACACAGAGAACTCGCAAAATGTGTATCAGTTGACTAGAAATGACTAGCATTTAAGTGTTTAAATTGTCATCCATTTTGGTGATGTTTTGAGGCCTAAAAAAAAGCCCTCTTATGCTTGGAAGCCCTGCCATTTATTATAAAAACAAGTTCTGTTGGTGGATTGTTTTTGACTGATCCAGTGTTTCTTGTATTTTTGGGGGGGGGGGGGGGGGGGGGGGTTGATTTATCATTATTTATGATGAGCACAAGTGTGTTTTTATTAATGTCATTAATTTATAAGAAATAGTTAATTGTGTGCAATAAACCTTTATCTTTACAGGTTAGAATGAATTCTTTAGCATTATTTTAGAAACGTGTTAACATACAGCTTTGAATCATTTAGGTATTGGGTCACATTGCTCAGATATGCACTTGATTGTAGAATAGAAAGTGTAGACATTAGAAACTGAACATATGTAGAGTATGTACACGTATTCAAGTACAGGCACACAAATATGTGTGTGTGTATGCATATATAAATTTATTTACACATACATTATTTATGTGAAAATAGTATAGAAAACATTACATATATAGAGTATACACACCTGTATAAGATGTATTGTCATAGAAAATGTGTGTACAAAGTATTTGCATAGACATAAATTTACATATACATTGTACAT